AAATGTTCGTACAATAAAGTGTTTAATTTGGACACAAGTTTACAATTTCGACTTAATTATAGAAATTCGATCAAAAATTTTATATATAGTTTTTTGTTTTTTTGACTTTTTGTCTTTTTAACATGTATTTAATCTAAAACGTTATCCCTATCTGCATCGTAGTTGCCGGTCTATTGTCTAATCGGCACCTGTTCTGATTAGCCTCAAACTCTTTGACTGTCAACCTTGGTTGGTTGACCGTCACATCCAACGGTTGTTATTTACTTCAAATCATGATGAAAAACCTACTACGAAAGTACCTTATTTTGTTTCCTTGAATTCATAGGAGCATAGTTGATTTATTGACCTCCCTTTTCCCCATGGCGGCACGCATCCCCAAGTCCCCAATCTATCTTGTCTGGACCACACTTTCCACTCGCGTTCGAGCGCGTGGACATCGCTTCTTGTCATTCCCCTTTTTTTTTGTCTCAATACAAATCCAAAAAATAATTGAATTTTTTTTGTAACTTTTTGTAACAATAAGGACGAGTAAATCCGGTGAAAATTTTCAAATCCAACGATCTAAACTCTAACTCGACTCAAATTAAATTAAATTTAAAACACTCAAAATAAAAATTGGTAATACTTAAACCTAATTGAATTAAAATCTAATAAAAGTTTCATTAGTTAATATTTTTATTGTTTAAATTTTACTAAATAAATAAAATAAAAAACTAAATTATTAATCAAATGAAACTTAATGCTCAATTTAGAAATCAAAACAATTTAAAATTTAAAATAATTTTACTTAACCCGTATAATTCTATCATAAATTTTATATTAATAAGAAATATAATGGGTCTTAAATATATAAATATAAATCTTTTACCGCTTATTAATATTATTTTTTGAATCAAAAAAATAAATCTGTGATTTATAAGTTTATTTAAATTTTATTTTTAGAATTTAAGGTCTTACTAAATTCAGTTTAAATTTTGATTCATGATAATTACTTATAATTAAAAAATAATTTAAATTATTAAAATAATAAGAAAAAATATTAAGAATTTTAAATTTTACTTACAGTAAAATGAATAAAGAAAATGTTAAAATTTATAATATTCCTAATTGAAACAAATTATCCCACAAAATGAAAGAGGAAGGAGGTAGACGCGCTTAAATAGAGAGGAAGATTTGCAAAGCAAAGGCTAAAAAGGCTTGCGTGTATATGACTTCATGTCGTCACCGAAAATCAGAATCGTCCAATTTTCTTAACGGAAAAATATCTTTATCTTCTCCGCCGAAAAAAAGGGAAAAAAAATCTTTATCTTAATTCGTCTTTCTCTCCCTCTCATATAAATATCTAGCATAAACGTGGATCTTTCTTCTCTCCTCTTCATCGTGAAGAAAACTAAACCTTCCTAAAAAGAAAAGAAAATCGCCAAAAGGAGGCCTCGGTCCACTCTTTCTGGATTTGATCTTTGGTTTTCATTTTCTCGAGAGCGGAAGAATGGAGAAAGCGATCAATCGACAGCAAATTTTACTGCAACACCTCAATCCTTCAGCTCCTTCTTCGGCCGACCAAAATTACAACTCTGCCCTCTCTGTAAGCTGTCATTTTTACTATTCGCATCTAAATCTTTTAACTTTGATTCATCGGATCGAAGTTTTCTTCTTTTCTTTGAAGGTTGATTTTGGGTTTTAATAATTTCATTGGCTGTATAGAATAAAAAAACGAATAATTTTTTATCCAGTTTAAGAAATGCATTAGGACTTGAATTTTGATTACTTAAAACATTTTCCGGTCAAAAGATCTCTTCTTTTTTGTAATGAATTAAAAATTTGACAAAATTTTCTACAGGCATCGGCTTGTTTAGCTGGAGATAGCGCTGCTTATCAAAGAACTAATGCATTTGGAGACGATGTGGTTATAGTAGCGTAAGTAACTCTCTTAAATCGATTAATTAAATAATCATTTTAAGTTTTTATTGTATAATAATTACTAAGACTATTTGGAATTGTTTTTTTAATTATGGAATTCTTAATTTTACAGAGCATATAGGACTGCCCTTTGCAAATCCAAGCGAGGCAGTTTCAAGGATACTTATCCTGATGATTTGCTTGCCCCTGTTTTAAGGGTTTGTCTTAATCTATATTTTGGGTTTCTCTTTTTTTTTTTTTTTTTTCTTGTGATTCTCTGAGTAATTGATTTACATTTTTTTTTGTTTGATGTGGTAATGTTGAGTTTAGGCATTGATAGAGAAAACGAATTTGAATCCGAGTGAAGTTGGGGATATTGTTGTGGGAACGGTTTTGGCACCAGGATCTCAACGAGCGAGTGAATGTAGGATGGCTGCGTTCTACGCTGGCTTCCCTGGTATACATATATCTTTGATTTTGTGTTTTTATGGATTTGTATTTTGTCATTGGTTTGTTGTTTGATTGTAGCGAACCTTGTGGTGATACAGAAACTGTGCCCGTTAGAACTGTGAACAGGCAATGTTCGTCTGGGCTTCAGGCAGTTGCTGATGTAGCTGCAGCTATAAAAGCTGGGTTTTATGACATTGGTAAGAAGAAACCTGTGTTTCTAATGGTATCTCATCCTCTTTTTATAAAATGCCACATTGTATTTTTATTAATAACTACTTGTAATGTAGGCATTGGGGCTGGGTTGGAATCCATGACCACTAATCCAATGGCTTGGGAAGGATCTGTTAACCCAAGGGTACTCTGTGTCTCTTTCTTTTTGTGTGTGTTCACTTGTTTATCATTCTGCCATTAGTCAAATAATACCAGAATTTCAAGGTTCTGACATGATCTTTTGCTGCTTTTGGCAGGTGAAGCAGATGGAGCAAGCTCAGAATTGTCTTCTCCCAATGGGTGTTACATCGGAGAATGTTGCTCATCGCTTTGGTGTGACTAGGCAGGAGCAGGATCAGGCTGCCGTAAGTTGAATGATTGTCATGCAGTTTGGTGTTGCAAATGATTTATATAATTGATTTTCTTAAATTTGGGTTGTTAGGTTGAATCTCACAGGAAAGCAGCTGCTGCTACAGCTTCTGGGAAATCTAAAGATGAAATAATCCCTGTTGCCACTAAGGTAGCTACTATTTTTTGCATCTGATAGATACAATATATGTTTGATATACTTACAGAATGCTATATTCATGTTTGGATTGTAACATTTCATGTATGAAGATTGTTGATCCAAAGACTGGTGATGAGAAACCTGTCACAATCTCTGTTGATGATGGGATTCGACCTAACACTTCATTGTCAGATCTGGCAAAATTGAGGCCTGTGTTCAAGAAAGATGGGAGCACTACTGCTGGTATTGAATAATGGATCATATTCTTTCTGGAAGATATGCTGCTCTGTTGATTTTTAGCTTATTTCTTTGTATACTACTTATATTGTAGGAAATTCTAGTCAAGTGAGTGATGGCGCTGGGGCTGTTCTGCTCATGAAAAGAAGTGTTGCCATGCACAAAGGGCTACCAATTCTCGGTGTATTCAGGTCTGTAATACCTGGTTTCATATCCTTCTGATATATAAAATGAAATTTGAGCAGTAACCTCGAGATGTGCTTGTAGCCTATATAATCCCATTACTTTCTGCTCTGTTACATCTGTTGTCTTATGAGTTCTCTAAGTGTCTACTAGAATTTCTTGTCATTTTGAGTATTCTGTTGTGAGGTCTGTATTCTAAGCTTTAATTTTCATGCTTTCTGTGGTTTTTGAGGAGCATTGACTGTCTATTCTGACTTTAATCAGGTCTTTTTAAAGCATTACCCATATGAGACTGTTCAATTTTTATTTCTTTATAACTAATCACATTGTATTAAACTGCCTCTTTAGTCAGGCATGCATGACTGGGATATCAAATGCAGTGACAGTGTGTGCAGCCGTTACACTCTTCTAAGTTTTGGTAGTGACCTTTTTGCATGTGTAGGAGAGTTTACATTTTTCCTGCTTGTATTTTATTTCATTATAGGATCCACTCACTTTTATAGGAAACAAGGTCATATAGAGTTATTTGTTTTATTGATTTGCCCTGAACCTTTTCTTCATTAAACTAATGAGAAACATCAATCTCTCTGTTAATTTGAGAAAGTACTTGTTGATCTTGCAGGACTTTTGCTGCAGTTGGTGTGGATCCTGCCATCATGGGTGTTGGCCCAGCTGTGGCAATTCCTGCAGCAGTTAAAGGTGCTGGTCTGGAACTTGACGATATTGATCTATTTGAGATAAATGAGGTACAATTTAGTATACCATTTTGCTTTGTGACCCTGTTAATTAAAGGGATTTTCAATATAGGAAAGTGTCCCTAATTTCTTCCTCTATCGCAGGCATTTGCTTCCCAGTTTGTATATTGCCGTAAGAAGCTGGACCTTGATCCAAAAAAGATTAATGTAAATGGAGGAGCAATGGCAATTGGACATCCATTGGGTGCAACAGGTATCTATAAACCCAAACAGAGTTTGTGTTGTTTCTGTTTTTAATTATTGGCATTATCTATTGGAGTAACTGAGGGCAATCTATGCTCAAGGGATCATTATTGGAGGTTTAGAAGCTGCTCTACTTGCATGATGACATCCATCTGAACCTATGTTTAGCATAAGATGTCCGTTGGAACTATAATTCAAGAAATTGAAGGGTGTCCTTTATACTGCATGTGTCTTGTGTAATCATTAGCATTAGAAGTAAAGCATGATAAGAATGTAATGCACACTTCTATGCTTTTGTTGAAGGTGCTCGCTGTGTTGCTACACTTTTGCATGAAATGAAGAGGCGTGGCAAAGACTGCCGCTTTGGAGTGATCTCAATGTGCATAGGTAGAGAACTCTCTCTCTCTCTCTCTCTCTCTCTCCCTCCCTCTCCCCTTCTTTGTTGTACACTGCCCAGTGTTGCTGACCATATCTCTCCACTGAAATGCAGGCACAGGGATGGGGGCAGCAGCTGTTTTTGAAAGGGGTGACCATGCTGATGAGCTCTGCAATGCCAGGAAGGTTGAAACTAACAGCCTATTATCCAAGGATGCCCTATAGAATACCAGATTTTTTGTTTAGCTGCTATGATTTCTTGTCAAAGTATTCAAAAATGGGCTGGAAATTTAAATAAAGCAGTGTAATAAATCGGATTTATTTTTGGCCAGAAATCTGAAACAGAGTTCAGACATCTGGCTGGATCGTGGACACTTTTCATAAAATTATAATCTTTCAAGCTATATATCATATATAGTACATGTTTAAGCGTCAACTTTCTCTCTCTTCTGTCATCCCCACATGGGAAGTAATTTTTCCTACGTTATCAGCTCCTATATAAAAACAAGTTATGATCAAAGACCTAGTAGAATTTGACATATAAATTGTGACTGTAGGTTTCCTACGGCCTTTCACATGGACCCAAATTGTAAGTCTATCATGCGTGGCGAATTACCATTCTACATTCGATAAAAGCGAAATTGTTCCCTTTCTTGAACTCTACCCAAATTAAAGACATAATTCCCTTTCAAAATATATGATTGCCACTCCCAGGTCCTTGCAAAAGCCTAATTTGTTCCGATTGCATGATTGCAGTCCGCTTCCACAATGGGTTCGGCCATGGTCATGCTCCCTAGCAAATAACTCCGTAATTTTTTGACTTTTTTTTTTGTTTGTTCCTTCCGAATTCAATTTGTTTTTAAAGAGAGTGAAAAGAAGAGAACAAGGAAGCAACAGAATGATTCAATTGTGAATGGCTGTTAGTACAGCTTTAGGAACCAATGGCATTAATGGGGGACGAATGGTGTAAGTTATAGGTTCGATGCACCATTTTCCAACAAAATTCAAAACAATAGCTGCTTTCAACAAGATAGCAGCCCATTCGTATGCTTAGATTCATGCCCTTACTTTCTAGAATGCAACTTCTTTTCTTGTTCAGAAGATCATGATCCTCCATTTAACATTTCAAAGCTATGTCTGCTCATCACGAGGAACTACTTCATTCTGTCATCAAGCTTTGAGATGCCTTCCCCTCATTGTTTGCTCATTAAGTAATCCCCAAAATATTTGGTTCAGAAAAGGTCAAATCTGCAGGCCAGGCAAAAGGTAACATCCAAAGACAAATTTCGGTGACAACATTTTATGAATTATGCCAATTAATGAATCCTTTTTGCAGGATCACGGATACAAAGGCAATTCCTTCAGAATTCAAACGAAATTGAGGAAACAGGTGAACACCAGAAGCCAACATGACCTTTCAGTAACAAAAATTTGCAGGAGTCAAATAAAAAGAAATATACCTATCTCTGATAAAAACTATATTTGCTTGCACTTTTTACGGTCATGCATGATGTTTGAAGCGCAAAAACACTCCCATTCAAGTTATAGGTGACTTGCAAACTGGGCATGACGTTTTCCTGCTCAGCCATGGATCAATACACTGCCGCATCAAGGGAATGAAGGAAAAAAATTATCTACTTGTTAACTTAAAAGAACCAACTTGAAATGCATCCCAGAAAAGGAAAAACTGGCATTGCCAAGATAGAAGACATTACCTCCTTGTGAAATTTATGTAGACAAGGAAGATGGCGTATGGTTTCACCAATACTAGGGGTTTCAAGACATATTGCACAAGCTTCGTCAAAATTATCAGTCTGCATCAATAAATTAATTGAAAACGATAATTAGCAATTAGATCTGGACAGCCCAACATAAGGGACAGTGCACATGCAGACAAGGAAAGCAAAAAACCAAGACACCTATCTATACAGTTTTCTCCACATGATCCAGACATATACCTGTACTTTAGACAGTGGTAAACTGTTAATCTGATTAATAGATGCACCACCATGCTGATGAATGTTCTCATCAAGGGCCAACAGCATTTCATAATCATTTCTGCAAGAAAATGAAAAGGGGACAGATATAACAGATTCAAGTATTCAGTAATTAATCCAGAGAGGATAGAAAGTTGTAACTAGAACATTAAGCAACATAGATATACGATAAAACAGAAGTAAAGGGATGAATTATTGAAGTTAAAAGCTACAGAAGGATCATTAGTTGTTGTCTACCTACCCTTGGTATTCCGACCAACACAAAATGCATGCTATTCTACAAAATTTCAATATCTTAATTTTTCTTCAATCAAACTGCAATAGGGTAACTGCTAGTGGACCTGAAATTGGGTGATCTATTCATGATCAAATGAAGCTTGGATTACAAGCTCGGATTACAAACTGTCAATGATACTGATTGAAAATGAGGTGAAATTATGCACACTAACATTACCTACTAGAGAGGTTTGTGAACCAATTTCAAATGCTGTTACTTCGTCAGTTTGTACAAGTATTCTTGGTTTGCTCATTACCACAATTTTAGATACATCAACACAGAGTCAAAGAATAGTTATTCCTACCAGTGTAACTGACTTCCAACCTGTATATAGTTGCAAGAAACTTTTAAAAATGGTTGTGGTATCAATGGCTCCTTTCAAACCCAAAATCTTTCCCTTTTTGGCCAATTTGAACCCTCTAATCTACAACCACTCTAAATGAGCAATTATTCCCATCTTGCAATAGATTTATTCAATCTAAACAGGATGGTGTCCAACTACTTCATATTCATATATGAAACATGTGGTTTCTAATCAATCTATTTCACACCATTATATTTATCGTGTACGAAACCATAACTTTTTCAAATGCATGAAACGATTATCCACTATGGTCAACACAAATCCAGTTTTAATAGTAACAATATTAGAACAAATCTTACTCATTAAAATCACGTTCTTGGAAGATGTGACTAGCCATTCCCATGCTGTCATCATCTCCAATTGCAGCCTCCATGGCTTCCAATATATCAAGTCTCTGCATCAGAAAGCCATAAATCAGTTTTTGTTAAAAGTAAAGATATACAGGATAGTACAACAAGAGGGGCAAAATTACCATATCCAAATCCATGTCCAAAGGAAACCGAAAATTCCTAGTCCTAGTTGGTGCTGCTCGAGATTCATTCAAAACTCGACTCCTCAACCGTGACATTCTAGCAGAAGTGGGGAAACGAGCCTGTCCTCCTCTCCTATTCGAAGAATTCAGAAAAATCCGTGATGAAGGCTGAACACGGGAATGCCTTATTGAGCCTCTCTGTGTAAGAGACAAAGAATAACATTATGGGGAGGACCTTATACAAATCCATAAAAAGAAAAAATCATCAACTTCATATAGTTGAAGATAGAATGAACAGCATCAAAAGTAAATAAAAAAAAATGATCCAAAAAAGATAAAGCAATACATCTCTCTTATCCTAGAAAAAGAATAAAAAAAAAAAGAAAAGAAAAACCTTTACCAAACACTAGCATATATGATGATACTAGAGTCTGACAATTACAAATATACAATCCCACAAAAAATGTCTTTCAACTCAATGTAAATAGCAAAAATGAAATATGTTATCCCTTCTCTTCAGCGAGCATAAGATCAGCCCCAATAAAGTTAAGGTCATTTAACCTGGCAACAACATAAAGAGAGTATTCATAATGTTGGACCTCTGTCTTCTCTAATAACAACCATAGCTGTTAAAGCATCTAAGTACTGACTCCGCAAGGATGGGTTCCTAATATTTTATGCAATCTCTCTCATATTCTTGCAAATAAAATTTATTTATTTAACATAAATAAGGTTGCCAAAAAGGGATATTGTTATCAAAAAAGGTTTCAAACTTCTTGAAATTACGTCAACAATATATAAAGCATCAATATCACTGATGGGCTTAGAAACATATGACTTTCCATATCAAATCAGAAAACAGAGAGAGGAGGGAGAATAAGAGCATCCTGTAAACAGCAATCAAGAAAACAGAAACCTTCAACATTAATTTATTGAACATGAAACCGAGGGATAAACAGCCACATAGGAACCAATCAAGATGATCGGCATACAAGATAGAATGTGTTGTTACTAGAATAGATAAGATAACAAGGTTAATTATCAATGTGAAAAAAGCATCTTAATGATGCCAGCAGAGACTTGAGTCTAAACGTCCAAACAATGATTTATGTCACTCATCAAGATCTACTTATTTATTTATTTTAAGAATGACGGATAAAGTTCAGGCAGTAAACAGAACAATGCGCACACCAAATAAAAGCAGGTATGCACCAGGGCATATGTACACACCTGAAAAAATTTTGGTCACTACCAATAGGTTTATAATATTGGTATAGAGAGGCATATTTCATCTAATGATTGCTTCATTAATTCCTTCGAAGTAGCAGTGTCTCATCAAAGAGTCTTGATAAGGCTCATGGCTTGTTTCCAATTTTTGGGATTTGGGATCTCATAGGCCTTTTACTGAGTCATTTTGGTATTTTTCTGTGAGCTGGTAAGACTAAAAGGAAACATATAACGCTGCGCTTCAAAACATTTTTAGGTCCAACAACCAGGCTAAACTATGGGGGTAGTGCTCCCCACTTCCCTCTGTCCCTCATAAAGGCAGGATTTGATTCCAAGTCCTTGGTACAACCAACTTTGCCAATTAAACTAGTTGGCAATAGAGTTTCAAGATAATTAAAACACGTGTTCACACACTCAAACAAACAAGTTTAAAATCACTCTCAGGTCATTACAAATCAAATTCTGAATTTACTGTTAAGCTTGTTAATAATTATCACAATCAAACATGCAAAAACTTAATAATAAACTACAAAACCCTTTAGTAACATCAAGATTTGTGCATAACCATGATCATTTATTATGCTGGGATCTAGGGACAACATTACCAAATTCAAGTCTCTTCTAATTTTGACAACAGAGGACTTGTATGGCATGTTTCAACTTGTTTAAATACAAAATCTAGCAGCTATCTTAAATCTCCATAACCATAAAAGATTTGAGGATCCACAGTCAATTTCATGCACTTAATATAGGCTGTCAGATTATCATCAACTCAGAAACAAATAAGAAAGATATTCAGGCTTACTCACTTGGTCGGGCTCACGGTGACTCTGAGTAGTAGTAGGACGGAGTGCATCTTCCTCCTGCTGAAGTGCCCATGCAATGTTTTCATCAATCTGTTAAAAGGTTCACAAACATTTTAAAGCTAAAGCATCTAAATAAACAAGTCACCATTGATAAAGGGAGAAAAGCATCAAATGATAGAAGAATCAACCTCGCCATCGCCATATATTGGGACCTCATGATAAAATTGTTCTTGGAGTTCACGGGCCAACATTTCATCCGCTTCAACTTGTCTTGCCCTAGCCTCTGAGTCCTCATCCTTCACACAGTCCATATTATTGGCATTTGTCCCTCTCATTTCAGATGCCTTGTCAAGATCCAAAACATCCAGATGCTGACCAATATGAATATTAGATGACCTTGAACTAGATGATCCCCTAGATGAACCAAGAAACACAATGTCTGAGTCATTAGGAATGACCCTAGAGCTTTCACCACTATTTCTCAAGGTTAATTCATGTTTCTTTTGCCTTTTAGGTAGCAAGTTTGTTGCAAGAGAAGGTTCACTAATTTGATTGAGCTTTGAGACGATCGCAGGAGCCTTTTCAGTTGCATCCTGATTTTCTGGAAAATCACATCCAATCCTGTTCTTTTCTCCTCTTTTCACAGCTCTATTTTCACTTTGTTCTTGGCATCCAATATTATTAAATCTGCTGAACTGACATACAGCTGCATGATCTACATTCTTTGAATGGTTGTGCACGCTTCTCCAACCACCTTTTTCTTCAAAGCATGCATCTCTACGGGAATCACTAATTCCACTAACTTCTCCATTATTACTCATAGGACTGCAGCAGGAAAACCACATATTTTAGTCATAAGGAACCTTGTACCTAGAATTAAGGATAGACAAAAATTAATCCACCAAGGTTCTGTTGACATCCATAGAACATGTTCTGAATTTTCAAAGATGCTATATTGTCTGCTTATCAAATGCTATTCCAAAGTTTCAGACAAAGATTGTACGCCATCTCTTTGGCAATCATTTTAACACAAGAAATAAAACCAATAAACAATAGAAAGAAAGCATCCAGTAGACAGTAGGCAAAGAAATCTACTTAGAGAAGAACATTACTTAAAATTTACCTGCTGGATAGATTAATAAAATTCATATCATGCTCCTTGGATGTGTGAGGATGGACAACTCCTTTTCCTTTAACGTAATTATTATCTTCAGCAATTATTTTCCTAATGTCTGTCATCCGAGGACTGCTGCTAATCACATTCCCAAAATCTTGTTCAGCTTTGGAGCTGTTTTCATATTGTTCATTTAATTGTTTAGCCCTGATAGCTATATTCTGGGGGGAGATGCAGCCATTTCGAACCAACCTTTTTTGCCCAATGGCTCTTGGTGAGAAAATAGAATGGTGAGATGCAGGCAATTGTTTTTCTGTTCTAAGTGGGGTACCATGAGAACGACCCATCCCTTTTCCGTCATCCACAACTGAGCCTACTCTTTTAAATCCAATGTCATCTACTTTTTCCTTTCCCTTGCAGTTATCTCTGGATGTTGCTGCATTATTTGAAGCGTTACGTATATAAGAACCACTATTTCTTGGTCCCTGGCCTTCTCTTCTTCCTTCAGCTAAGCGATTTTTTGATCCACCAGGTGGAAAAGCCATTTCAAGCATTCGGTTGTGTCTGCTCTGCTCAGTTAAATCTAGAATAGCATGATCTTCTCGGGATACAGATGATTTAGAAGGCAACTTAGGGAAAGGATCTTTTCCTTTATCCATGAATTGCTCTCTAGAGGAACTCCTGCTTCTCTCCATTGTTCTCCTAAATAAAGGAGCATTTTCTCGAGCATTTTTTAGTGGAGATAAGACAATGGCATTTCTTTGACGCTCAATTTCATCAACATTGCCCGAATGTTTCCGAGGGTGTATATAATGCTTTCTGTTGTGCCCATTCTCAGCAACCCGCCTACCCCTGCCCCCTAGCCTATCCAAAGATTCTTCACCTGCAGTATCAGAACCTCCAAAATAACCAGCTACTGATAAATGACGTTCTTTTTCAACACAATCTGCTCTATTCATTCTCCGTGCAGATAACCTATCAGGGGTGTCAGGTACGTCCACAACTAAATCAATGTCCATGTCCTCCATTTTCTCTATCAAGCAAAACATACAAGTCACACTCTGACTTCATATGAAGCTTCAATTACAAAAATATGAATTTGTATATAAAAATTCTCTCGTCCAAGAGCAGTTTAGCAATGTCCGTTACTGGAAAAATCACCTTCTCATGATAATAATTACAGAGCAATTTAAACCCCCAAACAAACAAATTAACACTTTTCTTTCCTACACTACTCTTTTGACTTTTTTAAAATGCTATTTATCCACAAGCAATGTAAGAGGGGACAGCGAAAGTACTATATGAAAATAGCTCCTGTTGATAACTAATGCAACAACAGTGACCAACAAGCAAAAGTAAATGTTGACAAAAGATTTTTACTTATAGTAGCAGAAGCTCTTCCATTTTTATCCATTTAATAAAACTAAAAAAACACTAAACATCCACCTACCATGCAAAGATAAAATGAAATAGTTATGCTAGTACACAACGAATATGAAAGAGAGTTTTTCTTCAAAAATAAAGGGAGAAAATCAAACTTGCTAGCAAAAGTTTGAAATGAATAATTGAACAATGAAAACAGAGAATTTTCTTATTTGTACCTAGAAAAATTATTATTACTATGATGAACAAAATCATGGCAAACAAAAATGGCTCAATCACAGTATCCAGACAATAATAATTCAAAACAGTGGCTTCATGATACAAAAGAAACCCCTAAATTTTTTTTTTTTTAAAGTTCAATCTTTCAGCAAATTCGAATAATATTAGCTATTAATTCCTTTGAATTACCTGATATATAATAAAACAAACAAGAATCTATATCGATATAGATGAAATAATCACATCAAAAAATTAGAAAAAAAAAACTTTTCCTCTATTGAGCTTGCAAATTTAAAATTTACATATTTGGGAAAGTAAAATAAAATAATAGCCGATTAGAAAAAGAAAAAAAAATACTAATCAAGAACTTATAAATTTAAAATTATTTCAAAATAAAGATAAAAAGAATTGGATACCAGATTACTTTTCGCTTCTGGTAACGATTGGAATCGATAAAAGCGACGAAAATCCCAAAAGAAGTTGAATCATCCAAAGCCCTAAGGAAGCAATGCCATCAACTCTTCTCAGAGTCCCTCGTATTTGCAAATTGCAATCTGTTTTTGTTTCTCTTCAACTTTCAGGGTCGGCATTTGGATAGCCCGGTTCGGGTCGGATCAAGGTTTTCGGAGCCCTGTGAAGGGTTGCTGGACTAGTTAGAATAAAGTAGGCCTGGTTTATTTATTAACCCAACCTCAAATGACCATTCGATTAAGTAAGGGCTGCGTAGCAATTGGGTTTGCTGGCCCAAGTTCTTCTGTTAATAATTCTCCATCTAAAAAAGGTTAATATGATTCTCGGGAGGGGAGTATGGTACAAATATAAATAAAAATAAAAAATTAGTTAAAATGTGTATTACCCGAATCCATTATAAACTTAATACAAGATTATGGAATATTTCATTGGAAACAATAAAAATATAAAGTTGTACAAAGTAATCTATATTTACTTCTTCTCAATAATTAAAAATGTCAAGATATTTGTTAATTTTTAACTGTCAAGATATTTGTTATTTTTTAACTACCGTACTTCAAATTTTATTATTTGATAAGATACTCAAACTATATAAATATCTGAGTAAATTTTAAAATTGTTATTCAAACTTTTATTCAGATATCTTAAACAATATCCGCTAAATATCCAATCCCATTAAATACTTGATTAAAATAAATTTAAAATCAATTTGTATTATATTATTAATGATAACTAAATTAATAAATTAACACTAAACCCACAAAAACAACATATACAGTATTAGAAATCAGTAGATCATTATCTAAATAACCTTACACTAAAGCCACAAAATATAAATTTACCGTAAAAATGCTCAATATATCAAGTACTTACCATTGAGCTAATTAATTACTCTTGTGCATAAATTCAGTAAATCAAGCAGGCCACTTATCCCATGGAACCTCTAAAAGAGGGGGAAATGGAGAAAGAAATTATGAGAAGAAGAAAAGAATGGAGATGAGAGTAAATAGGTCGCCAAATTAAGGTTAAAGGGTTATAATCATTTTCAATACATGAGTTCATTAATTATTGCTCAATGATACAAAATTGTACCTTCAAATCCAAAGTTTGTCCAAGGAGGGGCAGCAAATCCCTGAATTAATGAGAACAAATTACAAAAGGGAATTCAAAATTATTGCCTGCTACAAGCTAGTCCTAGTTGAAAAGCCGGTGGATACAGAGACTGAGCTGCAAAAGATCTTATGCATCGACTGGGGCCTGTTTTCACTCTATATAATCTTTAACATTATATCCTTTCGGCCATTGCCTATTCATCTGTTACACACCCCTTTGAAGCTGGTTGCACGTTCTTGATGTACTGAAAATGTACAAGAGATGTTCATTAAGAGATCTACTACTAATATAATGAAAAGCATACTTCCAATGCAAGATTGCCACCACACCTTATGCAAAACTCCTCTGTTAGCCTTGTAAGGAGCTGGAGTCCACTCCTTTCCCCGCTCGCTTAGTTCAGCATCTGTTAAATGAACGTTTATGGCCCTCTTCTGAACATCGATGCTGATGAGGTCCCCGTTTTGAATTAGACCAATGGGGCCACCCTCCTATAAAAAAGAATTCAACATTGACCATCTATTTATGTACGAGGCGGTGAGCAATTTTACACGATATAAACTCTTTGCTCACAAAATATTTTGTACAAACAAATCAAGTGTTACCCATCACTGGTTACAAGGATGTCAAAATATTGTAGTAAGTATAAATAAAGACAAATAACCAGTATATAATTAGAAGCTTAAGAGTCTTGTTAATAATTACTATATAAGTATCTATGTGAACTTTCTCTTTTATGGGTATTGAGATCTATTTTGAAAATTTACAACTCAAAAACTCTTCAATCCTCCATCATGTTGGAAACTATATCCTGTCAAATGTTGCACACGCTTTTCCCCCATTTCCTTAGTTTGTTACCAGAAACAAAGAAAGTAAACTTGATACTCCGTACTATAGAATTCTTTCATCATTATTTAATAATTCCCAACAACTACTAGTTTTATTATATTATTCTATGAAAGTGAAAAGTAAATTTGTTGACCATCATTTGTTTATTCTAAAACTTTCAGAGCTTCAATTTTGTCCAAGTTGCAGGCAAAAGCACCTCTTTACATCTAAGAGGAAAAGCACCATGAAAAAGATCACAAGTATGACTGCTAAAAATGCACAATATCAGTCTTCAGTTGGATGCAAAATATCTTGAAATCTATGAATGAGAAATTACTGCACCTGTGCTTCAGGGCATATGTGGCCTACAACAAATCCATGTGAACCTCCAGAAAACCTACCGTCAGTGAGCAATGCAACATCCTGCCAGTGTTCACTTGCAACATTCAAATCAAATACCTCTAGGGAAATATAGAATAACATTTTTATAGATCAATAGAAATAAAAAAAGAGGCCAGCGGTGGAAAGCCATTTGGACTGGATATTACAATACCTTCCCAAGACCTGCTCCCATTATTGCACTAGTTGGTGTCAACATTTCAGGCATGCCTGGCCCCCCTTTGGGTCCCTCTCCTCTAATGACTACCACTTTTCCCTGTAAATTTACAACCATAAACAAAATTCAGAGTTTAGCAAATGCAAATGGATATATAACGAATGCACATTCAAAATCATATTTCTGAAATGCCAAAAGGTTTGAATCTTCAATGAAAAAGTTCAAAAAGAACATCACAAGAAACAATTTGGCAAATATTATATATATCAAATAAAGCAGATAATGAATAATCACAAACAGATATGTGCAGCAAAAAACACATGAACTTGCCACTTCAAGCCTATTAAACACACAAATGAAATCAGAGTCTCATAATTAATTGTTTCTGTTTTTGGATACGCAAAATTTTATATAACCAAAAAAGAAGGGGAATTCCAACTACACAGTACAAACTCGCAGCATTCAGCAAGTAAAATGAAACAGCTTACATGTACCTGGAACAAAAAGTAAGTAAAACAACTTCTCATAGTCAAATGTTAAAACGAAACTCAGCATACAGGGCCTCAACTTTGCTAACTAATTATAGATACATAGTATGCTGCTTGACACACATACCTTAAAACTCATAGGATTTTCAGAGATAGCAGCTAACATAGCTTCCTCTCCTTCAAAGACAAGTGCAGGACCTAAAGAACAAATTTTGCAATAATTCTCTATGAGGCAGACTTGATTTGTAACAATTAAAAACAATCTAGCAGCTCAAAGAACATGTAGCACAAGCTTAAATTTAGTAAGGAAGGTGAGCAAAAAAGGCACCAGAGAAATATAGGCCTTCTTTTCCAGTAATTTTTGCTACGGAACCGTCTGGTGCAAGATTTCCTCTTAATATTTGAATGTGCCCTGTTTCCTTGATAGGATTCGACACCGGTCTTAAAATATCCTGGAAAGTAAATTTGAGACTTATAAGACTAGTTATATCTTCCATTTGTGGCATCTCAAATTTTCAACATTTAGAACAAGCAAAGTCTCTTTCAAAGGGGAAAGAAAAACAAGCACCAACCTGTCCCTCAGGTAAAGGAGGGTAACTCTGTGCATTTTCGGCCAATGTCTTCCCAGTAACTAGAAAGGAAGTATCATAGTATCAAATATTAAGAATATTGAAGAATTAAGATCAAAATTGCAATAGATGAAGAAATGTTAATAGAGTAAAAATTCACACACCAGTCATGCAATCCCCATCCAGAAATCCAAGTTCCAAAAGGTAACGAATAACAGCCGGTGTTCCTCCAATCTATCAAAACAGCATATGTTTACCGACAAGTTGAAAAGATAAGATAGACAATTTTGTCATGTCTAGAGAAAGGTGTTAATGTCATGCTTCATAAGCTATAGAGGCAAAGTGTAACTTGAAAGAAAAAGAATGATATTGATAGCATAAGATATTTAGTAAAATCATACCTTATGCACATCCTCCATGACATATTTGCCACTGGGCTTCAGATCAGCCAGAAATGGAACCTCATCACTAACCTTCTGGAAATCATCAAGAGTCAACTCCAGACCAACAGACCTGCCATGAACTTTCCATGAGTCATCTCTACAATATTTCTACAAATTTGATATACATGAGATATTCTGCCCAAATTCTCACCTTGCTATAGCAATCAAATGTAACACAGCATTGGTTGACCCACCTAGTGCCATGACAATAACCATTGCATTACGTAAAGATTTACGGGTGATTATGTCTCTTGGTTTTAAATCCATTTTCAACAATTCCACCATATATTTTCCAGCCAAACGGCATTCATCCAACTTCAGTGGGTCTTCAGCGGGTATTGAAGAGCTTGTTAGGAACAAACAAAAAGTCATAAAATAAGACAAGATATGAAAATTTCAAATTCCCCGTCCAAGTGATCCTGGGAGAGCATAATTCTACCTGTAAGGAAGAGACATTCCCATAGCTTCAATTGCAGAAGCCATGGTATTTGCTGTGTACATGCCTCCACAAGCCCCTGCTCCAGGGCAAGAATTCCGAACAACATTCTCTCTCTGCTCATCAGTTATTGATCCACTTACATATTCTCCATAACACTGCAGGTTCAATCAAACGGAAAACAAAAAAGAGTTACAAAGTTACAAAATTTGACAAAATGTTATGGTTTTTTCAGATACATTCATGTCATAGAAGTTAATCTTCACATAAGTTAAGTGGTAGCCATTTTAATGAAATTGCTTGATCTTGACAAAGTTTGAACAGTCAGTTGGTCCTTGTTTTTATCCTCGAAGGGTGTAAAGAGGGGAAAAAACCAGTGAAAAACAAACCAAACAGTGCCCCTCAAGGGTGAGTGCTACTTCAGTTCAGGGAGAGAGGAAAACCAAAAACAAATGTAACAAGAAAGCACACTGAAATTTATGTGGGCCAACACCAGAGGCAAGCTAACTGAACTCACAATGCTAGTCCACCCAAAATATTCTGCCCACAGGTCACTGCTCAAGTAGCATTTAAGAGAGAGAGCAAATTGGAAGATATCACATTGCTCATGACCAGAAAATGCAAAACTTCTGCATCTTTGGAGAATGAGTATATGTTCAAAAAATTTTGCATTTGAAGAGGTTTACGCAAAAGACAAACTCCATAGAGGGCCACCCATTATAACCCAAAATAGGGAAAAAGGTAGGCAGTTAAATTTGTCTGTTTATACACACCACCATGAAGTTCTTGATCTTACACAGACAGAGAGTATCTAGCACAGCACCTCTTCCACTTCTTGGAATAGAGATTTAGCTTTGTATACTTTTTTTTTTAATCTTTTGATTGTAAACCTTTATATTTTAATTACAATTCATTGCTCATATATTTATCAAAAAAACCATAGATTATGAAAAAATCCCATGTATTTATCAATATGTAATTTTCTTTACCAAAAATCTCAGTATCCTCATAATTTGACAAGTTCCCTACACTAATTCAGGAAAACCTTGTAATTGTCCATACACATGAATTTTCAATTAAATGTTGTCAAATCAAAGAATTAACAGACAGCAAAGGTCTGAAAGAAGCTAAGTTGTGGGAGCATAGAAATATCTAAACAAAGAAAAACATCCAGCTAATATGAAGATACAATGAGAAGTAATAACAGGCATAACAGCACTCAAATAGCATATCACCATGCTTACCTGGAATGCAGATATTATATCATATGTATTGCCTTGAAAATGACCAGGCTGCAAAAGCACAAGTATAAAAATAAATGAATGCATGACCAGAATTGACAAATTATAACCATTTAAATTTGCAGTAGGGCAACAATACCAGAATCACAATCAAATTCACTAGAGTGTATTGACTGAATATAAAATGTACAAGAAACAATGAAAAGGAGAAGCAGATGCAACAAATTGCAATAAATCTCATTGATGACATACTAGTTTATGATGACATAATTTACTTGAGGTTAGAATTTAGGATGCTTGATGCCTCAAATTCTTTTACATAGGTTTAGACCTAACTTTTGGCATAAAATATTACCAAATTGCCAGCATACTAACATGTTATATTAAACCCAGAAGGTGTATTCATTTGATTTTGGTCGGGAAAAGGGGGTGTTTAATAAGAGAGATGAAATTGATATAAAAAGTCATGGATGTCTAATGTATACGGCAATTTAGAAAAGAATTCACGAAAATGAATGCTTTCCTCTTTGAAACTGATCCTTATGGCCTTATCTAATATGATAGAAGTGAAATGTGTTTTATTTAAAAATTTTAAGAATTAGCAGTGATTTACTGAGGAAAACTTACCATAGAATGTTATAAGAGCAAAACTAATAAGATATCAAGCCAAGATGTACCATTTGCAACTCAACAACAAGAGTAGTCAACTCGTAGCACTTATACTAGACAAAGCAAAGCAGCAAACCTTGATAGTTCCACCATAAACCATAAGACTTGGCCGATTAAGCCTCCCCATTGCAATAATTGTACCTGGCATCTAGAGAACAATCTAGCGTTAGATTGAGATAATTGCACAATTGTGAAAGACAACCTGTTTCACACTATAATATATAATTATTGAATTTTCTTGACCCACAACAATATTAATACAAAAACTACTTCAACAGTTCTATCGAGGTCCAAAATTGAATCGCGGCTCATGATAAAATGACTAGGAAGCAATACATTTAAACTGAAAGAGAAAGAGTTTGCCCAAAAGATTAAACTTGCATCAAAATTTACAATCCTCAAATTTTTCAACAGCCAGAAGATAAGTAGAAGAAAATTTGCTTTAAGTTCAATTTAGAGGACATTTTGAGACCAAATAAAAAAGTTAAAACCAAACAAAACATTGCAGTTCAGTTTGAGCTTCCTATCCCCTTGAGCTTTCTTAAAAAAGGCTCAACTAAATATTCATATAAGCTCAATACAATCTTAAGCTCAACTCAAAAAATTATGCGATTTCAATGAATTAATTAATCAAAGAAGTGCAATTAACTTATTGAGAAATCCTCAACCAGTAAAGTAATATTAATTGCACAAATACATGTATAACAATATTTCAATTCTCAATTTGATATGGTCTGAAAAAGAAGGGAAATACAAAGGTACCAATCTTAGTATGATTTAATTTTATGTATAAAAATCAAACCAAATTGATCATTTTGATTGGTTTTTTCCATTTGATTCCAATGGAGAATACTCTTGAGAGAAACGCAACTTAAATTCTTTTATTTTCTTCTCTTCTCACAATTAAAAGCAATAAGCATATCTCCAAAACATCCTCTTTTCCTTTTTACACTAAAAAGCAAGAACATTTATACTCAAAAAAAAATCTCAATTCAAAATCAAGACAAACAATCACAATCAATTAAAAAAAATCACCAAAATAGAAGAAAAAGATGTTTCTATTAAAAAGCTTATATATTTATCACAACCCATCAAAAACAGAGAACCCAAAACAATAAAAAGGCAAATTTGAATTAAAAGGCTTACATTTTTATCACAGCCAGGAATAGAGATATTCCCATCATACCACTGAGCACTCATAACCGTTTCGATACTATCAGCAATCAAATCCCTTGACTGCAAACTATAGCACATCCCTCTCGTCCCCATTGAAATCCCATCGCTAACCCCGACCGTATTGAATCTAAATCCAACCATCCCTGCCTCTTCAACGCCCCGTTTCACTTCCTCCGACAACTTCAACAGATGCATGTTGCACGTGTTCCCCTCGTACCAAACCGACGATATTCCCACTTGGGGTTTCGACATGTCGCCTTCGGATAATCCGACGCCGAACAGCATCGCCTGAGACCCGCCCTGTGACTTGGGTTCCGTTATTCTCGAGCTGTATTTGTTGAGCTTCGTCGTGGGTGGAGAGGGAGGGTCCGCCGTTACGGTAGCTTGGGATTGTGCGGTTATGCGAAAACATCGGCGATGGTTTGGAGGAGGGGTGAGTGGTTTGTTGGTGGGGAGTACAGTGGCGCGTGAAGTTAGAAATGTGGCTTGCATGGCGGCGGCGGCGTGTGGGTTTAAGGTGCGGGATTGGGTTTTGGGTACTATTCGTCTTAAACCTGTTAGATAAAACGTAGTTCAGCATCAAACAAACATGTTTAAATTTGGTTTGATTAAGTTTGTTGAGATACCATTCCTAGCCAAACTCAAATCTTATCAAACTCTGCTGCTTAAACTTATCGTGGATGTTAAAACTTTGTCTGAGATTTAGACGCTCCCCCAAAAAAGAACATTTTTACCAAAATAACCTTATTTCCCTGTTCTTGGTTCGTTCAAGATTATCCCTCTTGGATTTTTTATTGTACACACGATCACATTGAGATACTATCCACTTTATCCAATATATAAAAGCCACGTCAGTTTGAATGTGCTGTAAATCATTAAATGCCTAATCTCATTTCATTATAATCAATGTAGGATTTATGATCTCTCTTTAACACCATAATATCTTTCTTAACTCTTTTTAAGAGTTTCTATTTAATGTGAGATTTAAAACTCCACTCACAATATAAGATTCACATTATTTTTATTAGAACGGTCACATTTTCTCCCTTTTTAATAAAGATCTATTGTCCTTAATACTAATCATCACAAAAATGAATAACAAAAGTCAAAAAAAAAAAAAAACAAGGACAAAGAGAAAGAAGAATTTTTCACAAATACTTATTATCAAATTCTGTGAGGTATTGTTTGTTTTAGTTCGTTAGCTTTTATCTTGAAAGCGGACAGTAAAGACAAAGTAAAAAAAAACAAGAACAAAGGAAAAAACGAATTTTTCACAAATATTTATTATTGAACCCTTGTGAGGTTTTGTATAAATATCCACTATTAAACACCTGTGTCGTATTGTTTATTTTGATTTGTTATTTACTATTGAACCCTTATAAGTATTGTCTATTTTGACTTACTATTTATTGTAAAATCCCCATAAAGTGTTATCCGCTTTGATCCACTATCTTATGATTTTATTGTACAAAAAGAACTTCATAGTTTGAGTGTAATATGAACCATTAAATGCTCATACCAACTAGAGACATCTATCTTGAGTGGCATATCACTAGTACTTAAAACTTGCTTCAATACCATCATGGTCTACCCTCACTTAAACAAGAAAGTCTATTTTAATAACAACTATCACGATCAACACCAATCTTTATGAAGCATTGTTTGTTTTGATTAGTTGAAATCACGATTTATCTTATAAAAAGTACCTTATAAGTTAAAAATTATATAAACCATTAAATGCACAATCTCATTCCAGTACTCAACTGATGTTAAATTCATGATTCCTCTTTAAGATCATAATATCCTCCTTTGGCTCCCTTCTAAAAACTTTTCTTCATCGTGAAATTTATATTCCACTCACTGGAAGCATATGACCTGAGATTCACATGGTTTCCATTGGGACCGTGGCACGTCCACCTTCCTCAGGCTCAGCTTAGCAATGTGGCCGAAGGATGTATTGGGCTAGATGATGTATGGTTGTTCAGATTTTAAGACATGTGTGTGTCATCTCAGTTCCTGTTTTGTGTTCCAAATGTTCTGTGGATTTGACCATTTCCCTCGGGCCTCCACCATCTACCCCAACCCGACAATTTATTTTTGTTAGAATTTTATGCCTTTGTTAACTACAAAACCAAGCAATCAAATGACAAAATCAGCATTTTGCAATGTTAAGAAACAGAGTGAAGACAGGTTAGCCCCATAAGCGTCATTTCTCTGAAATAGTTAACCTGCTGCAGAGCTATAACCCAAGAGGAACCAAAGCAGGTCGGAATGTGTGCTCTAACCTATCCTGCAAGGGCATTCAAAGGGACAGTTACAATGTGCTCTGACTCCTAGCCCTAGCCCTTATTGATTGACCTTATTAAATGTTATATCTGATATTCATTTTCTATGCATGGAGATCTAGATTGATGTTTGACCATCTTTTTGCTTGAAAAAGAGGGAAAACAAAAAACAACAAAACCTGACTCATTCTTTTTTGCTGAAAAAACTGACTTGTTTCTGGAAAGAGTACAGGCAGCCATGTGCTACCTGCACCTTAAATCACAAAGAAGAGAGAAGGAACATTGCCATCCGAGACATACATCATTAACCTTTTAGTTTCTCTTTTGTTGAATTAACAAGATCTTTGCTCAATACAGAACAGGCCAGACAGCTTGGTGTTATATCTGTGGAATTAAGTTTAATTCTATTGCTATGCTGCCCTTCCCTATTGTCTCCATAACAATTTGATAAAAAAAAAAACCCTCTTTGGGTGCTAATTACTCTTTTCTTCCCTATAGGGACCAAACCCCCATATCAGAACAATTGAATTCAGGTCTCTTTCTACATGGTCCTATATTCTCAAGGCTTTCTCCAACCGCTGTTCACTACTAGGATTTAGCTCTCTCTATCTCAATATTATTAAACAAAGAAAATAAACACTCTATAACTTGGTCTAAAACAATTGATTCTGACTGTTTACAGCAACTGTACCAACAAAAATCAACATTCATGGATGACAAGCTACCTCAGTTTTAGATGGACTTCTTGCAGCAAAAAAGAAAAGCATGGATCCAGCTCCCTCCCTACTTTCTCAATCATATCAAAAAGGGTTCTTCCTTTTAAAACAACAGCATACAGGTGGTGGCAAAAATCAGACACAGATTTGCTCACCGTTGACTTTTTGCCTTTCCACTTTAATTTGGCGTGCAAAGTGCAGTGTGGGCAATGATCTGAATCCCATAATTTGATAATTGATCATGGAATGCAATGTGGTTCAACTTTTCAAGTTCTTTGGAAGGACTGTTGCCACAGATCCTGAGAAGATTGCCTAAGAATGTAGCCATAAATGCTAATGCCAATGTTTGTAAGTAACCGAGTAACCACACCTTACTCAAAAAGGAATGGTTCAAATCCCTTCTGAACCAAAGCAAAATGAATGTACAAATGCAAGATGTAAGAGATAAAGATTGGAAATATCTTTCTACAGTGATGTTTTAACCATGAGAACAAGCCATAAAAAGTAATTAATAAATATCAAAGCAATATTCAATGCACAGAAATGAAAAATCAAAGCCACATTGATAACAAAAACGGGTAAAACAATAAAAGTAGATAACAATCTGTAGGCTTTCCATACAAAATATCTTGAACATTTCTGGTCGAATTGCGTATATTCCACATAGAAATAAATCAACGGTGATTTGTTTCCGATTCAGTGTTGCAAGTCATTGTAATATAACTTTTGTTCACACAACTCGCATTGTAGAGGAAACCTCAAAGTTCTCTGCATATTACTTCCCAATGCCTTCCTCATAAATCAAAACCAAGTTTGATGCAAAATTTGTTTACCCCAACCCAGGAATTGTTACCCTTTCGACTGTTCAATCTCGATTTAATATTTGAGAGAAGTTTTAGATATATTGGTATACCGAGGTCTTGCTGAGTTGAACCAATCAAGTTTTCAAGGGGTCTCCAGAGTTGTCACCTTTCGGAGTGAGCCAGAGTCCTGACAACAGGTGAAGTAAGTTCCCCTTTTCATTTTTTATGTTTAATTTTGGTTATTGCCCACGAAATTTAATATTTTTGGTACATGTGATATTGCCCAAGAAATTTATATCTGGGTGATTAGTATATACTTTGCTTGATTATAGGAAACGAGAGTTCTTTATTTTTCTTTGATTGTTTTCTCTTATGTTCTCTTTAACGTTGAAAGTTTAAAAGTATGAATTCTCTTTTAATTATTTGTTTGTTGTAAGGTTTGAAGTATGAATTTTATATGAATTCTTTTTTAATTATTACCAATTCTGTAGTATACCATTGGGCCAATATTCTTAATTAAAAGTTGTAATTCATTACATGAAGATTAATATTACAACAGATGCAAATATATTTTCTTGGCACATTCTTCTCTAATTATTTTACCATGAAAATTTACAACTTCTTTACCTCCAAACATGAGTCTAAAAAACTTCCAGCTTACTGTTATATCATGATAAATAAGACTCTTCTTGTTTATTGGCTTCCCAACTTGTTCAAAATTGAAAATCTATCTAAACAATTTGGTCGGAAGTGGGTTTCAGACTTTTGAGTAATTGTGAAGTCCTATCAGTTTCAATCGTTTCAATATGGGATCCAATGATGATCTTGTTGTAGCTAGTGCTAGGTAGTGTCCCCAAGCAAGGACCATGACCCCTCAATTCACCTCTAGTTTCACTAGTGCTGTCCTAGACAGCACTCACAACTAATTAATGACTAAACAGCCCCACGATCTCCTCTCTTGTAACTTTAATTATAACGTTCAATGGCTTTCTTACTTGCCACAAATCAATATCTCATGATTTTATATATATATGCTTGCTACTTATCTTAACAAGTTGTATGACTAGGTGTGTGAAAAAAATTTTTGAACAAAATCTTGATTGATTTTACCATGAACCATAACACTATATATTCTCTCGTCAATTGTGGTAGCCAAGTCATAAAAAAAAGGAGGCAAATATATAAATAAATATATATATGCATGTATAGTATTTTTCAAAATTTTTGCAATATAGTATGTCATATATAAATCTATTGAAATCATTAAACACTGTATTGTGTGAAAGCAAAAGTAATACATTTATGTGAGACAAGATCCAACAAATAATTTATTCAACATAACGACAATGATAATTGTTATCTATACCTGCTATACATAAATAGGTGGAGCATTAGATGTACAAATAACAAAAGTAATATATGAATGAAATGATAAAGACAAGGTATCCCCCAGCACGAATTACTGGACTCAGTTTTACTTATACTGGCACTACAGGACAATCAATACAATCAAGAAATGTGTATTGAGTTTTTTTAAAAGAGATAATTGGGTGATTAATTAATATTTATTTTATAAAAAGCTTGAGATAATTAAAAATTATCCAATTATTTGTATTTAAATTTTAAGTTTCGCTTGTATAGATTGAGTGTATGAAAAAGATGGAAGGAAAAACAAATTAAAAAGTATTGCACTTAAGAGTCAAGACTTAAGAATTAACATACTCAATGAATAATTAATTTATAAACTAAAAATATAATATTTAGGATTTGGATTCTAATCCCGTTCTAATATAATATTGGGAAGAGATGCATCCAAATACAATATGAATGAGCATTAAATACATAGAAGAAATTAATGGTTCCCAAAGCATAGGAAGAAAGATGGATTTAGCTCCTTATGTAGGAAAATATTTCTTTCTATATATATATATATATATATATATATATTTTTAACCCTCTGCAAGTTTGTCTCTGTGTGTGTGTGTGTGTGTTTCTTGTTGCTCATATTTGGCAAGTGTTGTTCTATGCAATAAGGCACAATTAAATTTAATTATATTCTCATTAACATGAATTTGACCCATTTTTCAACTAATATAATTATATTTAACTTAAATATCATTTCACCTTTTTAATTTGTTCTTTAAAATAACGAAAGGTAAACAACAATAACAGTGACCAATAATGAGAGACTTAGTCTTGGAATGTATACTAGATTAATTGTTACTCAGTTGCGTTATCGAATAAGTACATTGATAAGGATCTTAGCTGAAAATTGTAGTGTTATATTAGAGCAAATGGACTTTATATTATGACAGACCAAATTTAAATACTGTTTTGAGTTATAATGTATTTTAATCTTAAGTTTGCTTTTTTCTCATTTTTCATAAAGATTTATTTAATTTGATTTACATAATCTTGTAGCTTATTATGAACATGCCTCGAATCTTTAGGCTATATATCTTCCACATTTTTGGTCATAAGTATTGTCTCGTTCCATGAACCTCCCAAATTATGCTCACACTCTTTAATGAAACAAATCCCAACCGTCTAAATCATCCCTGTCAATGATCCGAAACTCTTGGGGCCACGATAAAGCCTCGTGCACCTCTACAATGACGACCCTGTTATAGCTTTGTTAAGTGATGGCGTTGTTGTGGTAAGTGAGAACAAACTCTAAACTTTGAAAAATCATGTGGGATGAAGGGTTTGATAGGCGAAGTCAAGAGAGAAGGAGAGATAGATAGATGCACCAAACTCGCGTGTCACGTGCCAGCCAGCTTAAGAAGTTGTTGGGGGAGGGGGGTCTTGAGGCTAATAGCATTGGTCAAGCACGTGATGCTCAGCTACCCGCCCCTTACTCTTATTTATAGGACCAAACTCTTTGCAAACTTAATCGTAGCATTTCCCTTCTACCACTCATAGCATTAGCAGCTAGTCCAATACCAATCACCACCTCCGCCCCCCTCGCACCGCCGGCTGCTAATCCTTTGTGTTTATCGTAGAAGAGCAAAGATGGTGACAGTCGAGGAAGTTCGCAAGGCCCAACGTGCTGAAGGGCCCGCCACCATCTTGGCCATCGGCACGTCAACTCCACCAAATTGTGTTGATCAGAGCACGTACCCGGACTACTATTTCCGTATCACAAATAGTGAGCACAAGACTGAGCTCAAAGAGAAATTCAAGCGCATGTGTAAGCTTCTTTTCCCTTGTTTCCTTTTCCTTGGTTTTTGTTCTTTCCCGTTTTAAAGCTCCTTTTGTCTGTCACCCTGTTATAGAATTTAGCTACTATTTATGGAAATTTAAAGTGATTAGGTGTTTCATACGTAATTCGCATGAAAATGGAAAGGATATGTGTATTGTTCATAACATTTTCATGCAAAGGGTAAGTATAATTAATTTTGTTTATAAATTCATCTCGTGTAAAGATAATAAGTAAGACTAGATTAATTTCTCTCCGAGGTTCAATTTGGTAACGCTAAGATTTCGACGAATTTAGATTTAAAGCCTCTAGTCCTTTTGACTACGATTTACTATTAACATCAAAAGAGTATATCCCACTTGAGTAGTTGGAATACTAGTATGTAAAATGCAGGAAGGGTTAACTATGTTTGGTTGATTACGATGCGATCATAGAAAGTAGTTCTAGAAAGGCTGTTGGGTTCCCTTGCTGTAGCAAACCTTATTTAGTGACTCTCACCATCAAAAAATGTGACTCACATAACTTTTATTTTATACTTAAAAAGAAATATCTTTTTTAATTATTTGCTATCTAAATTTTTTCAAAAAATCTAAAACATTTAAAAGAAGAAATAAAAGAAAAGCAAGCATGTTTTAATCCTCCTGATATCATATATTTTCTCCATGCTTCTACTTTTATTCTTTATTTTTTTTCTTTCAACAATATTTATTCGATTTATTATTTTATTGTGTAGTTTAGTTAAGGCTAATGAAAGAAAAAAGTTTCACATAAAATAGATAATAAAATACTCAAACATAAAGAATTTAAAAAACCTTGAAAAAACAATAGGTGGTACTTGATCGCTGCCATGTCACTTGGTTGGACCAAAATGATTTGTTGTACATAGCTTTCGCCTTTTCGGTCCAATAATAAAAAGACACACACTAATAACAATACATTATTTCCGCTGTAACCCACTGAAGAGAGGTGGAAATATTGCATTGCGTCCCATCAAAAATAGAAAATTACAATGAAGTTCTTACAGCTTTCTAAAGAGTAAAGATTGCTCTCTCACCCAACAAATAGTACCAGTAAGGAAATTCCTTTGATCATTGTATCGAAAATGGGAACCGTATTCTGCCATGTACATCATGGTTTGTTTTTGTCTTGTCAGAAGAGAAACCAAGTAGAACGGACCTGCTGGGTTCAACGTTTAAAATATGATTATGTAATAAGTAATCATGTTATTTCATTCTCCAGGTGAAAAATCCATGATCAAGAAGCGGTACATGTACCTGACAGAAGAGATTCTGAAAGAAAACCCCAATGTATGTGCATACATGGCACCTTCATTAGATGCTAGGCAAGATATGGTGGTGGTTGAGGTACCAAAGCTGGGCAAGGAAGCAGCCACGAGGGCTATCAAGGAATGGGGCCAGCCCAAGTCAAAGATCACCCACCTTGTCTTTTGCACCACTAGTGGTGTGGACATGCCTGGGGCTGACTACCAGCTCACCAAGCTTTTGGGCCTCCGCCCATCCGTTAAGCGCCTGATGATGTACCAACAAGGTTGCTTCGCCGGTGGCACCGTGCTCCGGGTGGCCAAGGACTTGGCAGAGAACAACAAAGGCGCCCGTGTCCTCGTCGTGTGCTCGGAGATCACTGCCGTTACCTTCCGCGGACCTAGCGACACTCACCTAGACAGTCTCGTGGGCCAAGCATTGTTTGGTGATGGTGCTGCAGCTGTTATAATTGGTGCGGACCCAGTGCCCGAGATCGAGAAGCCCATGTTTGAGCTAGTCTCAGCAGCCCAAACAATCTTGCCAGACAGTGATGGGGCTATCGATGGTCACCTGCGTGAGGTTGGGCTTACATTTCACCTCCTCAAAGATGTTCCCGGGCTTATCTCCAAGAACATTGAAAAGAGCCTGGTTGAGGCATTCCAACCCCTGGGAATCTCAGACTGGAACTCCCTTTTCTGGATCGCTCACCCTGGTGGCCCAGCTATATTGGACCAGGTAGAAATCAAGTTGGCCCTCAAGCCTGAGAAGCTACGAGCCACGAGGCACGTTCTTTCAGAATATGGCAACATGTCAAGTGCTTGTGTGCTATTCATTTTGGATGAGATGAGGAAGAAGTCCAGAGAAGATGGGCTCAAGACCACAGGAGAAGGGCTCGAGTGGGGAGTCCTGTTCGGATTCGGACCTGGACTCACCGTTGAGACAGTGGTGCTCCACACTATCTCTGCTTAAAGAGGCTTCAACGCGTATTGCCCCCTTGCATCGTCATCATCATGTAATCTGGCTCCACTTTCCCTGGCATTTTTATCTTTTAAGTTTATTTGGGTTTCATTTTCTTTCTCTTTTAATCTCCTTTGAATTTGTATGGTTATAGTGAGAGTCAAACTCTCTGATGCTATGGGTGTGTTGTAGACTGGAAGCTTGAATGCCTATAGAATTCATGTACCAACTTATATTAATGGCAATAATAAGTTCCCATTTCATCATTGCCTTTGCCATAGGAAAGCAGTTGCCATAGGAAAGCAGCTTTCTTTTTTACTTTTCCTTTTATACAACCACGTGGGCAAGAAACAGAGGGAAAAAAATCTTTATTGAATGCATAACACAAACAAAAATTTGGGTTATAAAAATCACTCCAAAAACATATCAGTTTTTTTTTTTTTTGCTGATTTTTCTCCATTCAATTTAATCTTTTATCTCTCTTTAAACAAACCTTTTGACTAGAAAGGGCTTTTAGAAGATATAAAATAATAATAAAGGACCCACTCACCTAATAGTGGGAATGTGGGATCCCCACGTATGATTAATACATATTATATAGATACTAATATAACTATTTAAGCAAGAAAATCAGTACGAGAGGCACAAATATGTATAATTACCAATTACCAACTACTAATTAAGAAAAAAATAACAAAAAAGAAGTGATATTAGAAATAGTAATTAAATTTGAAGTCTCCTAACAGTTTTTAAGAATATGGTTGCAACCAATTCATCAGTTACTAAATACATCATTGGTGCGTGCCTAGATTGGAAAGAAAAGAAAACTTGTATGTCTGATAGAGACTTGGCACGGGAAAATAAATGAATGATAAAGGCATGGGTATATGATACTATACATTTCTTACCAGTTATCAGCCAAGACAAAATATCCAAGTTGGCTTCAAGATTCTAGAAACGTGTCTTCATGGATACGAGGCCAGCTAGTTTAGTCATGGAGGGATATCTCCGCTTGTGTTTTGAGTTCTTTTCTTCTTTATATATATATATATATATATGGGGATTTGAGTATTGATAGTAAGAATAGCAAAATGATTCAATAAGTTTTGATCTCTAATTTTGATACTACATATTACCGATTTTGAGGTCTGTACCCGGAACGATTATTCCTTATTTTTTAGGAATTGTTTCATGAAATGATTAAACTTTACTAAAAATGAACTAAATAATGAAATAATCAGTTCACTTAAAATATATTGAGATGAAATTAAATAGTTATTTTATCAAACCGAACATGTTGTAAAAAGAACATTACAAGGATGTCTTACACTGCATTATGGAAGGTGTTTTTTTTTTTAATTTATAAAACGATAAATATTTATATTAGATTTAAAAAGCAATTCTTCAAAATTAAAAAATTTGTAAAAAATAATATATAAAAATGAAGCAATTAAAAATAAAAAATAGAAAAAAAATTTTGTTTCCTGTTTCTTTTCTCTCATTTTCCTTACACCAAAAGACTTAAAATCTTGTTTACTATTTTTTAAAAATTATAAATTGATAGAATAGACACGTAATACTTAATAAAATTTTGATTAGAAAATACTCAAAAATGAAGGAAAAAAAAACAACACATAAAAAATGTAAAACCATTTTTTTTTAATTCATAGAAACCAATCCAAAACCAATTGAACCAAACAAACTCCATCAACCCAACACTAATCCACCATTGAAAGACACAAATCAAGCTCCAAGGCATAACATATAAAACCCACTATAACTAAAAGGTCAAGAAAAGATTAAAAATCCCATTCTAACACTAGCTATCTATCAGCTCCAAAATAACCAATTGGCAAGTTAAAACATGCTTGAGTTAGCTTTAATTGTAGGTATAGATGTTTATATTCTATTCCTTAGGAATTTATTAATATTTTACTGTTACAATTAAAAGAGTCACAGTTAACATTGCATGGTACAAAAATTTTCCTTACTCATCTCCTTTGTATAAATTTATTGCTATAATATGGTGATAAATTCTCAGATGGTTTCATTAAAGAAAACTGCAATGCCAAGAAGCATTGATTCTTGCACATGGTTTCATTTTTTTGTCATTATTTCAGGCCACAACTAAGGCTGATATATCTGTTTGATACTATCCATCATGTTCATGCCAACCTAAACCCACACTTCTCAAGTTACAGTTATGATAGTTAGGATCCTAGAGTTGAAAAGGACAAAGTTATGTACAGCATATTGTTGGGAGGGAGCCAACCAAAGAATAGTTTGGTCACTAATTTAACAAAAAGGGTAAAAAGGAAAAAAAAAAAAAAAGGCAAGCTATTTAGGGGGAACAAAATCAGATACTGTGAGCTGATTGTCTCAAGCAAGAATTGGATAAAAGATGATGGCATTGATTGCCTTCAACAGTGGCCACCATTCTTTGGTATTTGACTAATCTGACCTACACATGATTTTTTTTCATGCTATAAAAGTGTCTACATTATTAGCATTTGGCCATCATGACCCTAACATTTGGCAATTGAGTACAAATTCAAAATGGTTGCAAGATGAATTATGCCATGGCTTGCTAAACTTTTTCAAATGCTTTTGCTCCATACAAAGGAGAAAGGAAGGTTAATTTTTTCATTTCAATGGTCAAGTCAAATTAAGCACAAAGGTTGGGTAATTTAATTGAGTTGGATTTGGGTGAAAGGGCATTACCAAATTAGTACTTTTTGTTGTTAATTCTATTGATTTTTTTTTTTGAGCTGAATACTATTGAATTTTGGTACTAAGTGGTTTGAATTTAATTCAAATAGTTAAGGGGAAAGAGCTGGACCAAATTATAATTCCCTTCCCTTGGACCTCCCAAATGACAAAATGTTAAATGGACAATAAGATAGTAGTTTTCTCTTATGTGCTAAACTATGGATAATTTAATACATAAAATTGATAAAAGTTGTTGAATTATTCAAAAATTTTTTAATAAGGTTTTTTAATTATATTTAATTAAATTTTTATATTTTTATTTTAAATAAAATAAATTTTAATAACTAATTATTGATTAATTATCATTAATTAAAAATATCACTTATTATTTTATGTCTTATGATATTAATGTGATAAATTGATATATCATATTAAATGATGACATAATATATTGATGTGATATAAAGATACGTGATACTTTTCATTCTTCATCTTACTATTATATAAATATAAAAATAATAAATAATATTTTAATTAATAACATTAAAACTTAATTAAATGTAATAGAAAACATACAAATTTATTTGAATGTTTTAAAATAATTTTAAGAATTTTTTTTAAAAATATCATACCATAATTTAATTAAGAAATTGAGATTAAATTACAAGTATATTAAGGATTTGTTTTACCAAATAGGAGAAACTAGAAAAGAAATCAGTAAAACACATTATTCTACTTATTATTTAGTTTAATTTATTTTTCTTCCTTATAAGTTTATTATAAGATTAATTGAAGTAATATTTTACCTTTTGTTTCTTAAACCTCATTTCTCTTCCTATTTTTGGCTCTTGATTTTCCTTTTTCCTTTCTCCTATAGGGCTAACTGTATAAGGACTTGTTTGTCAAGAAAAGAAAGAAAAAATATTTAATCATTATAGATTCAAGGTGGTAATTACCAATTTACCATATTTATATGAGAAAAAACAATTTTTAGACAAAAATATATAAGATAGTACCCTAAATCTTAAAAAAGAACAAAAAATTTCCAGGAAACTGGGTGAAGTTGATGGGTCGGGTCAAAACTCAAAAGCTCTGACAGTGAGCCAACATGCTCTACAGAAGTACAGGGGGCTGCCAACTATTCTGATTTTGAAACCACTAGCAGCTAGTGGGCTACTCAATTAAATAAGATTAATTAAGTTCTCCTAATTTGGCAGTTTCTGAATTAATTAGTCCTATTTTCAAATGAGAAAATTAAGCAAATTAAATATTTTGCTCTAACCAATCATTTAATAGTAAAAATTTTACATTTTTATTAGAAAAGGAAAATAAAATACTAAAAAAGGAAATAAGAAAGCAGGTTCCCTCCTTTCCACGCTCACATGCAGCCTTCCCATATTGGACCCTCTGTCTTTCTCTGACTCTTCTTATTCTTATCTCTTCAAAAAAGGGAAAAGCCAAATTAAAAAAATTAAAACAAAACCCAAAAATTCATAAAAAAACCAAAATTACTTTTTTTATGTTTGAAAAAAAAACAAAAATAAAGTTTTTTTTCTTTTCTCTTCCCTCTTCTTCTCCCTCCTACCCCAAACTCCCAATCACATTTACAAAAATCTTAATTTCAAAATTTCGCCTTTTTCAAATCCATTTTCAACTCTATACAAAAAGAAGTAGCTTGGGTACTTTATCCTTTCAGTTGTTGAGTCCTATTTTTCTGATTAACGCTTCTGTTACTTTTTTTTGGTTGGGTTTTCTTGAAAGGTGGGGTTTTGTTTACTTTCGTGTATAGTATAGCTATTCTTTTCTTTGATTCTTTGCCCATCAATTTTATTTCTTAACTTCTTTACCAGATTCCCCACCTGAGTTTTTTTTTTAGTTACTAGTATTATTTTTATTTTGTTTCACACACCCACATGCATGTTCTTCAGTTTGTCTGATCTGGATTGGATCACAAGGTTCTATCTTTTTGCTTTCTTTTTTCTAATTTGAAGAGGAGTAAGAGAGAAGAGAAACGGAGAGGTCTTTGGTGGGGTTAAGTGCTTGAACAATCTCTTCTTTCTTTTCCGGGAGCAATCTTTGGTTGCTTAGAAGAAGAGGAGAAAAAAGGAACAAGGTGAGAGATTTTCTTTTCCTTCTTCCTTTTTGTTGGATCTCTATTTTGGGTCCACAAAGAAGATTCTTTTTTTTTTTTTTTCCTTCTTGTTTCTGTTATGAAAGTTACAATAGCTGTCTTATTGCATTTCCATCCGAGTGAAATTTGAATTGGGTTTGATTCGTTTTTGGCCAAAATTGCAATGTGCTGCTCATTCTAGTGAAAAATTATGAATTTTGTTTATTCTTTTTCATTTGTTTAACTTTGTTGGTTTGTAGAGAGGGATAGTCTACTGCTGCTGTGCTTGCATTGTTGGGGGTTTTGAATTGAAGATTGAGTTTTCTAGTGTTGAATGATTGAAATTGGGTTTTAACGGGAAGAGCTTTTCTTGGGGTTGGTAGCATATTTGGACTCCTGAGGCACGGCGGGTATGGATGTTTCGAAGTATGCACATAGCCCTGTGCACAAGGCTGTTTACATGAGGGATTATGCCAGTCTCAGGAGGATACTCGCGGCTCTCCCACGACTTGGTAACCCGGCTGAGATTCGAACAGAAGCAGCGTCATTGACTGAGGAAGAGAAGGCTGATGCGATCTGCGCTTTGATTGATAGGCGTGATGTTCCTAACCGGGATACCCCTCTCCACTTGGCTGTTAAACTTGGTGATGAAACTGCAACGGAAATGCTTATGGTTGCCGGTGCTGATTGGAGCTTGCAAAATGAACAAGGATGGAGTGCACTCCAAGAAGCAATTTGTAGTAGGGAGGAGGCTATTGCTATGATTATTGTTCGACATTACCAGCCTTTGGCATGGGCAAAATGGTGTAGAAGGTTGCCTCGCTTGGTGGGAACTATGCGAAGGATGAGAGACTTTTATATGGAAATCACATTCCATTTTGAGAGTTCTGTGATACCTTTCATTTCCAGGATTGCACCTTCAGATACATATAAAATTTGGAAGAGGGGGGCAAATTTAAGAGCTGATATGACTTTGGCTGGATTTGATGGATTCAGAATTCAGCGTTCAGATCAGAGTCTTCTTTTCCTTGGTGATGGTTCTGAGGATGGGAAGGTTCCTCCTGGATCGCTTTGCATGATCTCACATAAGGATAAAGAGGTGATAAATGCTTTGGATGGTGCTGGTTCCCAAGCAACTGAGGAAGAGGTTCGACAGGAAGTGGTTGCAATGTCGCAGACTAATATATTCAGGCCTGGGATAGATGTGACACAGGCAGTTCTTTTGCCACAAATGACATGGAGGCGACAAGAGAAAACAGAAATGGTGGGTGCCTGGAAGGCTAAGGTGTATGATATGCATAATGTCGTTGTTAGCATCAAATCTAGGAGGGTGCCTGGAGCCATGACAGATGATGAGTTCTTTGCAACTTCCAACGAAAACGAAATGGAGAGTGAAGAGCTTGATGAGTTATTGACAGAAGATGAAAGGAGACAACTTGAAGTTGCTCTTAAGTTGGATTCTTCAGAACTATCCAATGAAAATGGTGATGGCATTATTGGGCATCGTCATAGTTGTTATGAGTCTAGGGAAATTCCTATTGAAGAGTCCAATGGTTATAAAAATGGAGAGACTAAACAGGAGAAGAAAGGATGGTTTAGTGGATGGAGGAAACGGGAGACGAAGCATGAAGTACAGAGGAAGATTGTGCCACCTAGAAGTTCTCTCTGTGTAGATGAAAAGGTGAGTGACCTACTCGGAGATTCTCCATCTGGGAGTCAGATCAAACCTGGTAGACATTCTGTGGAGATTGTGGCAAGGGATGATCATCGGAGGATAAGAGATTCGAGAACATCTACTTCGATAAGTTTGGAGGGTGGAAATCGGCGTAAGGACAGTGGCCGTGAGAATGAGTATAAGAAAGGATTAAGGCCTATTCTTTGGCTTTCGCCAAACTTCCCACTACAAACTGAAGAACTCCTGCCATTGCTAGACATTCTTGCAAACAAGGTTAAGGCAATTCGTCGATTAAGAGAACTGCTCACTACCAAGCTTCCAGCAGGAACTTTCCCTGTCAAGGTATGTTGTTCTCTTTCGCTGTCAGATTGGATTGTTTATCATTGTTATTCCTTTTGCAATTCTTTTAGTTATACTTTATGTGCCTTTTGTTTTTACTATTATTTCTTGTTGTTGTTCAGATTTGTGTTGATTCCCGCAACGCACATGTTTTAACGACCATGGTTTTGTCTTCTGCCTTTTTTATATTTGTTTGATCTTGCCACTCGACAATTGCAGGGAAGACATTTCCCTCTAGAGGGATGTTTGGTGTGACAGATATCTAAGGTTTTTTTTTTTTTTAAATCTTAAGAGTGATCACGTGTAAAATTGTAAATTATATTTTGCATGGTATGTTGGGGCTTGCTTATTACCCAAAATTTGCAATAGATTAGATTAGAGCTTTTATTGAAGTATCAGGAAGATAGATGCTTTTCCACATTAAGATTTTAGAATCCATTTAATCTTATAGAAGCCACATTGGGCTTATACATGACTCCTGTAAGATATAAGACCATGATTTTGGTATCTGTGTGCCTGGTATAAGATGTAGTGGTTCCCTTCTATCTTTTGCGGTATAGACTTGTCAGATAGTAAGGAGGTTATACTTACATTCTTAATTTTGATGGTGCGAGTGTGCTGTACTTATTCATCAGTTTTTGGGTTCTCTGTGCAAAAAAAAAAAAGAAAAAGAAAAAGAGGGTTGGTGGTGGTTATGTGCACTGAATGCTAGTCATTACTGTAGTTATCCAGTAATGATTGGGAAATTCAACAAAATAACATGTATGAGAATGCTCTGGAGATTTTATTTTCAGCTTGGACATTTGAGCCTTTATTTTTATTCCTTGTAGTAGGTATCATGATAGTTTACTTTGTTCCTTTGGTTCTTTGTTTTTTATTGATACAACAAGGACTCCTGGCTGGTGCTGTTTTCGAAAAACTTCTCCCTTGAGATTTTGATAGAGTCCTTATTGCCCAGGGTTATCCAACTAAGAAGTGCATGAACTGTGAAACCTTTGACTTTTTGCTAGCTGCTTCAAGTTTGGCACCTTGTGATTTTGTAATGGAGGGACTTATCCTTATAGGTTTCTGACTACAGGCAATTAAAATGGAAATCATATGTACATATGCATGGCAGGATTGCCTTCTGGTTTTCCCTTTTCATGCTGTGTCTACTTTGTTTGATCTTTGGTTGGTTGAATTGCTCTTTGCTGGAGGCTCAAGACTTGCACTCTTTCTGACTTTGCTGTTACTTGTTCCTTCTTGCATTAGAAGATCTTGATTTAAGTTTTTATTTTCTCTTATTATTCATTCACTTTTCTAGGCATTTAAAGGCTGCAGTTGTTTGTATGGTGTTGATTCTTATCCTCAATATACTGATGATGTGGTCCAGAAAACTTTATTGTGTCCAGGCATATGTTTCTTGGGCCCAAAATATGCCCTCCCTCTCTCTCTCTCTCTTTTACTTAGTCAATTCTGCTCTGTAGCTATATGAAGACTTCCAATAAACTACACCTATTCTCAGACATACATGTTTGTCTTTTAGTTGTTAATTTGTCCATTTGGAGTTGAATTGTGTACCAGATTAAACTTGGTTTTTAACATGATTGTGGCTTTGTGGAGTTCCTTTGACCATTGTGCTTGTTCTCTTTCTCAATGTCTCACAAGCAATGCAGTAAACAATCTTGTACATCGAATTGAGTACAGGTCAGGAAGCACATATTGGCAAAAAGACATTGGACTTGGTTTTGTTTTTCACATGGCATCCCTGTTTTACAATTAAAAAATGTGGCATTTATTTGTTTGTAAACAAATTTCTAATATTTGGCCCAAAAAAAAAAATTCTGAAAGTTAATTTACTTTTATATATATATATTTTAATTAGGATTCCAAAAAATACTGTTAAGAGTAGATGTTACCTAATTTTATGGAGAAGTATTTGATGTTTAAATGATTTATTAATTATATTTGTGTAAGGAGTGTTGACTGATATAAATGTTAATATATGGGCTCTTGTGGTAGAAAAGATTTACTTTAGAAATTGAAAATTATTGATTGGTATTTGGAAAACAGCATTTAAAGTGCTGTTCGTAGAGTAATTTAATTGTCAAGCAATGCTGCGTTGAAAATTTGAATTAGAAAGAAGAATAGAGTATCCTTAACGCACATATTGAATCATTATCAATGAATTACTGTTATGATTAGTGGTCATTTTAAAGTTTATTCTGGTCCATTGATCAACATGTTGCTGGATTTCTTCAAGTTATTATTTCTTGTTTTGGTAGAACTATATTATCCTTCATGTTTGCCTCAACTCTCAATGCGGTCAAATTTTTGGCGTCAATGTTATTTCCCAGTTGGTGAGAATGCATCTCCAGACCTTTTAATAGGGGCAAAATCTTTGAAGATTTTAGCTCAGCTCCTGTATGAAATATACGCACATGGTTAAGCTCAGTAACGAATAATACGTATCCCTTGTCAATAATATTGTTTTAACCTTTTACTAACAAGTCTTCATGGTTGCTCTTAGGTTGCTATCCCTGTGGTTCCAACAATCAGAGTGTTGGTTACTTTTACGAAGTTTGAAGAACTACAGCCTGTGGATGAGTTCTCGACACCCCCTTCAAGTCCCACTGCTGGCCGAGAAAGCCCTGCGGTGACACATTACTCAAGTTCGTCTTGGTTTCAGTGGATAAAGGCACCATATCACCGCCCTAGCTCATCCACTTATAATTGCAATAAGATAGAAAATCTTCAAGATCCATTTGCAATTCCTCCAGATTATACTTGGATTACAGCTGAAGCAAAGAAAAAGAAGATGCAGGAGAAGAGCAAATCAAAGAAAGGTAAGAGTCAGAATCATTGAAGGCAGGCTAAGAACCAGATGTAAGCAAGTTCTTAGCTTTCGAAAGGAACTCCGGCCGATACCAAACAGGAAATAGTGTTTCATTAATCCATAAAAATTGTGTTTCTGTTAATGAAAAAGGAATTAGAAAAATAGATAATTGGGGCTGTGTTCTATGAAGTGGATGATCCCTTCTGTCTTGGGAAAATTTGGTATATCATTGTGGGGGTAGAAAAAAAGGTGAAAATAGAATGTGATTCTTACAGCATTTGCATGGCATTTGGTGGGATGTTACACTCTTTGGATTACTGATTTACATCATTACGTGTGACTAACTTTTGACAACAGTTACTGACAGAATTGGCAAAGTTTTATTTCTGGCAGCCGAGTCAAGTTTTTACTACTCCCTTTTTCAGTATTTTTGTAACCATTTTTAGATCATTTGTTTTAATAGGTTATGGCTTCTCCTTGTGTAATGTGTCCTTTTGTGTTTGTTCTCCTACTCTTCCGGATTCCAATTAAAAAGCCCCTGCCTGTTTTACTTCACTTTTATCTGTATTTCTTTTGTTTTTTGTGCACAATAGAGCACAAAATCGTCCAAAAAGAACCCTGCAACTGTGCTGTTGTAAAGAAACTTTGTGCTAAGTTTCTCTGGTGAAGGGATGACTTATGATTGACCGAGCATACATGAATCTAAGGTGAGGTCTGGTAAACTGTAAGTGAGGGGCATTCTTTGCAATTAAATTGCAAGGAAGTGCATTGCAGAGTTTGGTTGATGTTTTGGAAACGGGAAAGTAATCTTGGAACAATGTAATTGCAAGGAGGAAAAGTTACTTTCTCTTTGTAAATGGAAAATAAAAAAATCTTTATTTCCCAATTCAACATCTTGACTTTTTTTCTTTTTCTTTCTTCGGTCATGCCTTTTTCTCCTTTTCACCGTCCGTCCGTAGGAAAGGTAGTTCATCACTAGTACATTTAGATCAAATTTCACCATCAAATTCAAAAATTAGTAAGGATGAGATTTTAGATTTTATGAAATTTTAATTTAAATTTTTAAAAAATTTGAAAGTATGTTGAGAAAAATTTATGTTTTTGATATCGATAATTGAGAAAGAAATATTTATACGGTTTAGAATCGAAGAAATTTATTAAGGAATTGAGAGACTTTGAAAGAAAAAGGTATTTTAGTGTCACAAATACGGGAGAAAGAAACCCTTAGTTAGACTTAAAATAATACATCTATCCATGGATGTTCAAACTTTTTGGCATTGGGTATCTATCTATAAATAGATTTTTCTTTGAATAATTTTTTTGATTTTTAATTTTTATAAATTTTAGGTGAAAATAAATATTTAATAATTTTATATATTTTAAAATTTAAATAATTAATATAAAAAACTATATTATTTTTAATGTTATTATTTATTATTTTAATTATTTAAAGTTAAAAAGTCAAATTTTATATTAAAAATTATGAATTTATTCAACTTATATATTTTTTAAACATAAAGATAATTTTGTAAATTCATATTACATTACTAGTAAAGTGTTTTCAAATTAAATATTACAATATAATACTTTCAGTTTGCAATCATCACTTTCTCTTATTATATTAAACGTTACAAAATTATATTTTCAACAATTATATTTTCAATAATTACATTCCAAACAATATATCAAAATGTAATCTAATTTATGGAAATAGTCGAAGTTAGAAGACAAAAGGGGATTTAATGACAAGTCTTATTCTCAATTAACATTTTCCTTACCACAATCATAGAGTCAATTTCTGTTTTGATCTGAATCATTGCTTATTCTTAATGCTGAGAATGTTGGAAATACAATTGGAAGGATCCGGTTAAATGTAGAGCAAAAACTTATTAGTATAACAGTGAGTTGGCTTTGATGCACTGAGTCTTTGGTCTGGCCGTCTTCTCTTTCATTGAATTACCAAGTAATTATAAGGTTTTTGACCTTGTACCCTCTTAGTGCTGAGGATACACCCTGCTCTTTGATGGGTGTTGCTATTTCATTCGAAGAAAGAACTGATTAAAAAAAAAAATTGTTCTTTACTATGCCTCCCAGTGTGGCATTGGTTGCTAAAACAACACATCAAGCAAAGCAAAGGCTTCATCATTCTCTTTTTTCTTTATTTTTATGGAATGATGGAGTGGTTTTTATGTGCTATGCACTTTTGTTTTGGATCATGAATTTTGGTTGCAGAGTTGGTTTACATAAAGAAAATTGTTTCCGAAGTTTGATTACTACCATAACTGTGATTGCAGACATTGTGGTAACCACATATTTGCTCGATCTGTCACGTTTTGCTAGCCTTCTTACACAAGTCGCATTGCAATTTTATTCTTTACCCCGGGTTCTAGCCAAAGCAAGGGTGTTCATCATTACAGATTCATTTATCATTCCTGTTTAGCAGACTATTAAACTTTTCAATACTATTTTGTAACTCTTCCAACTTCTATTTGTATGATGAATCCTTTAAGTTTTTGAAAACCAAGGAATTTGATTATGCTGCCGTGTGGTAATGTGGCCACCCAAGCATATGAAGACAGGTCAATTAGTTTAATGTTTCTTTTTAAAAAGTAAAGTGACAACAATTCAATCAAATATAAAGCATCTTAGCAATCATGTTTATGTTAGTGCCTGCTGAGGCGTGTGCATTTATGCTATGATTGTGGTAATGAGCAAAGATTTCGATAACTTGTCTTTTTGGGGACCTACAAGGATCTGCAACCCCCGTAGAAATGTCAAGTTAGCCAAGACAAAGCTTGTTCAAATAGGTAAAGAGAAACTTGGGATTTGCAGGGAAATTTTCAGTTGCAAGCCTGCTCCATTGGCACTTGTCAAGATCATGAATAAACAAGAACATTCTAGCTTTCAAAAATTTCAAGGTTAATTGAAGATTTTGATGCAAAGTCAAGACAAATTTTTATCAGCTTCTGGGATGCTGCAGTAATTCCCATATGATTTTGAACTCATTTGATCACTAGATTCACTTACCAAGGGGCCACTAATTAACACATGCACCTAAAAAGAAGAAGAAACATATGCACCTGTTCTGAAATAATTATGACCAATTTGCTTTTGTTTTGCTTTGAGGGTGGGGTAGGGGAACACTCAAAATTACACCCGCCCCCCCCCCCCCACTGGAGAAGTGGCCCTGCCTCTTCTCCCCTTGCCCCAGATTTAAAGACATTGATTAAACAATGAAGACTCTTGTGGGCACTTAAACAGCAAAAATCAATTTTCATGCATTCCTTAGCCCTAAACGAATCTGGCTGTACTTAACACAAATCTGTCTGCAAATGCATCCCCTACTTTGAGCAGATAGCCGATCAGTTGTTAGAGTTAATCAGTTTGGGGCATTGACAGATCTGGCGCACCGTCTCAGTGCTGTATGCTTCTATCACTTTCTACATCAAGATGTGGGGAATTTGTTTTTTATTCATCTTGCATTTCTGAACTCTACAAATCTGGCTAATAATGAATAGGCAACATTTTTGCACTAAGCAGTAGAAGGTTCATATAAATGTTCTATACAATTTTCATCCAGGATCACAAAGTCGCTAAGGTCATCTTGAAGAAGGACATTACCTACCGGGCATGTTACTTCATTGAATCGCACAAACGCAAGAGTTCCTAACTCCCTCGAGCTCTCCATCATCTGACACACTTTTATGGTAACAAACAAAGAGTAAGGAAATGTAGAAACTTGGTTTAAGCTTTAACTACATGAAAGGTAATGCTAACAAGTATCCTAACAACACTCGTTGCATTGCTATCTATCTGAAAGTATTTTCATACTAAAATTAAGGCAGCGATTATTTTCGATGTCTAAACTAAAATATTCAGTTAAACAATAAGCTTAACAATTGTCCTGGTTAACCAGACCCTATGTGAAATTTAGTAGTCAACTAGCTGCGCCATTTCTCTTTCTATCCTCACTGGATTCATCATTGTAAGGCTGCTAGTAGTTGTAAATGTGAAACACATGCCACGTTTTGTTGTCCCTGCCATGTTTCATTTCATAAACGTCCTGAAAATTCAAACTACCACAAATTGTTGGTTGCATAGGGTCTTACCTAATGTAAATTAGTGGCTAGCTAGCTAGTAGCTACTTACAGGGTTAATCATAAAAGAGTAAAGAGCCTGCACTTTTACAGGAAAGGTAGGTTTTTCTAAATTCCAAATTCTTAAAACTCATAGCTGTTTAGGTTTAAAGTGGCTCAGACATCCATAATTTGCCCATGCAAGTGAGATTCTAGTTATGCAGTATAAATTTACACACAAAATTTAAGTAGACAGGTAGCGGGAGATAAATTTTTACCTGGGTTCAAACTCCTGAACATGAGCAATATCTTTTCCATGAGCATCTGGCCAACTCACTTTCCTCCTTTCTGTCTTTAACTGATTATCCTGATCTACTGTAGTAGGTTTCTTGAGATTACTCTTGCGGGTGGGAATCAGTTCAATGTGAGGCCCATTATAAGTCCCACTGCATCTACTGTTGCTGCCACCACTACCATTGCTGATCTTGTCTTGGCCTTGTGATTCATCATTACCAACTTCTTCCATGACCCCATCTTTCTTTTCCACAGCAGACCGCTTCTTGATGTTGCTGCTACCACTGCTTCTGCTGTTCTCTTGATCACCTTTGCTATCAAAATTCCTCGATGGTACATAGCAAGAGCACACTAAAGCGGTGCACCTGTTCTGCGCCGACGCCGCCAGGAGTGCAGACCAACAAGCTTAAATCCTTTCTATGTATCCTGATACCATGACCAGAACCAAGCTTTATTTCTTATAGCTATTTGATCAACCAAATAAAAATGGCGAAGAAATATATCCTATATATTAATAAGAAGGTTGTCTCCGAATGATTGTAACCTTGCTTTAAATGGAAGAGATTGGAAAACAGCTTAATTCGTTGGGAGGTCGGAGATCTATGCAATGGAATTTTCAGGTTGAGAAAAGATACAAGAATGGATATTCAAGGAAGCGCAATTATGTATGATATAGCTCCCCCCACTCAAAGTTGTTTTCTTTTGCTTTTGCCCTCAGCACTCATTAGTGAGGTGAAAATGGGTGAAACAAAAAGGATTGGAGTGCTCACAGCGCCCCCCTCCCCCTCACCTTTTGACTGTTTTTGTGTGGGGGATGTTTTCATTGTTTGTTATTAGTTTGGGATAGGCATCTCATCTTTCCCCTCTCTTCATTTTGTTTTGCTTTTCATGGCACCAGCCTGCAATCAGTATGTGGTAAAGGGAGGAAATAATTATAGTTTCACAGGACACATTGAAAATAAAGGAAAGGAGATAATTATTTCTTAGCCCTCTTTTTCTTTGCAAGGTGTCCTTGTATATATAAACATATATGCTTTGTGTTGTTTAGGGGGTTGGGAGGGAGCTTAACCTCTTTTTCTATGGGTTCAAAGCAATGCTTATTAACATCAAACATCACTTCTTTCACCTCCATTTTAGTCTTCATTGATGTCATGAGATGCTGTTTCAAAGATTCTTAATTCAATGGTGGCTACGTACAAAACAGTTTTACTCATTTTATTATCACTTGTTTTCTCTCTTCTTTTCGTACATTAATTTGCACAAATTAAACTGCTTTATTATCAATAAAATAACTCATCAAATTTATATACATATATATATATATATATATATATTTCCGTCGTAAGTGTGCATCTAATTCAATTTTATGCACCATGTTATATATATGTTGAATTATTGTTTAGTTAATTTTACATACAAATTTTAATAGTTATATAATATATTTTAAAATTTATTAATTATAATTGAAATTTTTATCTTTTCAACATAACTTCAACAAAAAGGAAAGAAAAAACAGAAACGAATATTTTTCATGATGGATCAATAGTGTTTACAATATTTAGTAATTGATCAATTTTGAAATGAATGAATTGTTGTAAATGTATAAAATTTTAAATTTCTTCAAAATTCATAAAAAAAGAAAAGAAAAGAAAAGAAGTTCGAATATATAAATCTTGGCCAGCTCTCCCAATAATGTTCACAGGAAAACATGCTTTTACCCTTTCTGCATCTTTTTGATTTCTACCCATTAGCTGCTAGGTTCTAGCTCGACCATGTGCAATAATACCACCTTAAAAGGCTTGGCGATACCATGTTACTTGGTCAGACCAATTTTTCCTTTTTTTTTCTCCAAATTATAAGACTGGGACAATGTAGTTAGATGAGCTGAGATTAATGTTTGTACCACTTCCTTACAAAAGATACAATGAATGGAGTTCATAGAATCCAAATACTTTTGGAGGAAACAAATTTTTTTTTTTGAGAGAGAAAAAAAGTAAAAGAAAATAATTATTTAAATTTTTTTCTCAATATTTTCTTTGCAAAAGTTTTCCTCCATGCTTGTCACCTCCACAAACGCGAGAGAGTTTCCTTTGCAAGAGGATTTTATTATCTTTTCTCGTGAATTTTTCATTAATCAAACAGGCCTAAAGGGCTTGTCCAGGGTCCAATGCTCACACATTAGATGGGCCATAATGGGCCCATTCAGATCCAATTATATTTGGGCTCAAAATTTGTGCAGATCCAATAGGCTTTTGGACAACATCAGTCCACTCGCTCGTGTCGCTTCGAAGTTCGGCAACTCTCTCTCGGCGATACTCAGAGCATTTCGATGATGAACAGGTGCAAATTCATCCAAAAAGTTAACTGATTTCCTTTCTTGTTTTTTCACTTGTGCAAATTAAGATCGTTTTTCAGTGCTTATTTCGCTGAGTTATGTGGTATTTTTATGTGTATAAATGATGGAATCGGCTATAAAAACAGGATTGTCGCCAGAAACTTTGGCTCCAATGTTTATAGATTGAGAATTCCATGGAGGCCTTTTTCTAATGATGCAGCCTCAAATCTATCTAGCTCAAATGCCGGTAACCCTACAAAAGTAATTTTTTTTTTTTACAAAAATAATTTTGCTTACTTTAATTTTCTGGATTTGTTTTACATTTTATTGGTTTATCGACTTTAAATGTGGTTAATTTTACCTTTGATAATTGTTTCAGTAGCTTTATTATTATTATTATTATTATTAAAGTGGTGGATTAAACTGGCCAGTTTTTTAACATTGTAGGAGGGTGAAGGTCAACAATATGACATTGCGATTGTTGGAGGTGGCATGGTTGGCCTGGCTCTTGCTTGTTCCTTAGGTAGGTAAATTATTTACATTAACCATACATTTTCATTTTTTGTGTTATGCAATTTATTTGTTCAAGACAGATATGATTCACAATAGGCACTACATGCATGATATTACAAACATCGATGCTGGTGACACTTATAAATATGTATAATTAGATGTTTTGTAATCTATGTAGAGTATGTTCTTTTTAATGAGAATAAAATTCGGAGATGATGATCTGTTTACTATGTTAATATGCAGCTAGCAGACCATTAACGAAACATTTGAATGTTGCCATCATTGATAGCAATCCAGCTTTGGGGAGAAACCACTTCATTAAGAAAGAAGACCTCCCTGATCCCAGGGTCAGTACAGTAACACCGGCGACTATATCTTTCTTCAAAGGTAATAATATAATGTGTTTTTCATTTTTCACCTTGTTCTGAGCCGATTTTAATCCTTATGTTTTGTTTTTCTGAACATTTTGCAGAGCTCAATAAATGGTTTTGTGCTAGCATCCTGCGAAACATTGAAAAATGAAATTTAAAATCGAAAGTTAAAATTTTTTATGTTTTTGACACAGGTATAGGATTATGATGCCAGCAACGATTTGATAATTTAAAGATAATTATCTTAGGACTATTATTCTTTTCGACCCTCCATCTGTAAAGGAGCAGACAAGCAAGAGAAACCATTTGCCTAATTGGTTATTAGATATTGCTTTGACAAGTTGCTATTTTCCCTTAGTTAGTTATAATGTCCCATGCTTGTTGCCATGTTTATTTTGCTTTCTATAGCAGTGGTTGTATTCCTTGCAGATATTGGTGCTTGGCAATATGTTGAACGGCATCGACATGCCTATTTTGATAAGATGCAGGTGCTGGCCGTTTTATATTCTCTTTTTACGATAATGCCTTCTTTTTCGTCAACTTTCAATGCTATCATTCATTCTCTTGGCTGAAATATGAACTAGCATGCCACTTAACATGTCTTATTTCCATGGACATCATTTGTTTTTAAATGACACCTAGAATGTCTTGAATAAAAAAATTTCTAACAGTTTTATTGTGATCTGCTATAGGTTTGGGATTATACTGGCTTAGGTTACACAAAATACAATGCGAGGGATGCAAACAAAGAAGTACTTGGGTAAGCACCTACTTAAAACTAAATAGGCAACTCTTGTTATCTTTTAGATGCTAATGCCTACATGTTGGTTCTGGATTCTTTCATTAGGTGTGTGGTGGAGAATAAGGTGCTACTTAGTTCTTTGTTGTCATGTGTGCAGGTATTGATAAGTTATGCAACTTTTAGCATAATTACTGTGTCTTATTCTATGGTCATGGTTTTTACAGTCACAATTGAACCAAGGTAAATTAAATTTTTTCAGGATACAGATTTGCAGAAGAAAATCTACCCATCAAGATTGACTTCAATGTCTATATTACCAAATTCTTCATCCTTGGAAGAAGACAGCACAGCATCAGAAACAGTATTGTTTACTCATGGGCGTTTAGCTAAGCTGGAACTGGAGGATGGACATAGCGTATATGCAAAGTTGGTGGTAATTGAACTTGCACCTGGATGAGTTAGATCATCCATTATGAATATAATAGGATAAAAGCTTTGTGTAATATCTATTTACAGATTTTCTGGATGACATTACTTTTCTTTAGTAAAATTTTATTGGTGTCAAGTTACATGCAATTCATCTCAGGTAGGGGCAGATGGGGGAAAATCACGAGTTAGAGAGTTAGCAGGATTCAGAACAACTGGATGGAACTACTCACAGAATGCCATCATATGTACAGTAGAACATGCTGTAGAAAATCATTGTGCATGGCAGAGGTTTCTACCTGCTGGTCCCATTGCACTTTTGCCAATAGGTGATAAGTTTAGCAATATTGTTTGGACTATGAACCCAAAAGAGTCATCAGAGTTCAAATCAGTGACTGAGGATGACTTTCTGAAAGCTGTAAATCATGCACTGGATTATGGTTATGGCCCTCATCCTACATCAAGCTTATTGGGTAACGGAGACATTTTTTCTTGGTTCAAAGGAGATATCACCATGTCAGCTCATGATTGCTTTGAAGTTCCACCAAAAGTAGCCAAGTTGGCCTCTGAAAGGATGGTTTTCCCTTTATCCTTACGGCATGCTAGTGACTATGCATCCAAGCGTGTTGTTCTAATTGGTGATGCAGCACATACTGTGCATCCTTTGGCTGGCCAAGGAGTAAATTTGGGTTTTGGAGATGCGTCTACTCTTTCAAATATAATTTCCGAGGGAATTGCAGTTGGCACAGACATTGGGGAGGTATGTATAGGACAAACCATTCTCATCAGACATGATGAATCTGGTTATCATTTCTAGATTTAGACTTTCGCAAACAGTTCTTCCTCTTTCTTTCAAGAAAAGGGTCAGAATAATGCTGTTGTGATGCTCTATTGCTTGTCACTAAATGGTGGTGTTTCTACCTTTAGGTATCGCTATTGAAGAAATATGAAGCAGACAGAAAACCGGCGAATGTTATGATGATGGCAGTCCTGGATGGTTTCCAGAAGGCATACTCTGTTGACTTTGGTCCTTTAAATATCCTACGAGCTGCAGCATTTCATGGGGCTCACTATATTTCACCACTTAAAAAGAGCATCATCTCTTATGCCTCCGGGGAGCACAGATTGCCACTATTTTCTTGAAGACCTTGATAAATGTGATTGCAAAAACTAGGTAATCACACATAAATTAAGTAGAGTTTTCCTTTTATCATCTTGTACAGGAGTAATTTGTTATCAGGAAACATTAAAAGAATAATTGTAAAATGTAACTGTGATCACAAGAACTGTAGAAGCATTGCTTCATGCATTTTACTTTGGTCAAGGGTGTATTTCTTAGACAAAATGATTCATTCATCATTTTCCTTTTAAAAAAAAAGGGAAAGAAAAAACCATAATAGCCCCTAATACAGTTATTCTGATTCATCCGAAAGGACTTGAACCCAACAAAGAGGTATCACATTCCTTGTTGATTTCAAAGGAGGCTATGTGTGGAATGATTCATCTTCATGCAGCCAAGAATTTCCAATCATATTTTCTTTTTTCTCCTTTTAATTGGGTTCTATTCTCTGGTGACAAACTTCTTAACTTTAGCTTAATCAGAAAAGAGATTAGGAGGAAAAGATAGAAAATTTGAGGTTAAGCTTTTACTTCTTATGAGCTCTTTGATAGATGTAAGATGTGGTTACCAGTTGATGACTGACTTACTAGGAAGAGAGTCCATTTCATGTTCATATTCAGCATCATTTTCATCTGATTCTCGGTTTGCTAGGAATTCTAACTTTTGCCCATTCATATTGTTTCTTCTCAGCTTATACATGCCAGAATCTGAAAAGCCAATACATTGCGGATTTGGGGTCATGGAACTAGCTTTAGTTCATCATTTAGATCCGCCTTAACTGTTATCATACTTTGTTCTTTCTAGGTAAATGCTTACAGTAGAGATACCGGTTTTGCCAGAAAAATTCAACTCGATACTGTTCTGTATAGTAGTAGATTTTTTTTTTTTTATAATTTGTTTCATTTTGAAACCTCAGTGCAACAATAACAAAAAGATTTGCTAGAACCGGAATTTCTGAAAGCTAAAAACGAGGCTACCAGAACAAGTACATGAAAGTTTTTGTGTATTATGAATTTCAATATACATGAAGAGTTTAACCAGTCATAACTTAAACTGCATAACGTTAACTCTTTAACATCTTTCCTAACTAGTAGTAAATTCGTGGAGCAATATGAAGCTGCAGTGTTCTTCATCAGCGTCCAATTTACTAATTTCCGCTATGTATCTCATATGTCTTACTCTTAAAGGACACAGTTATTTTCCATATTAAGCAGAGAGAGAAAAATGGAAATCCTACAAGCAGGACTTGGCTCTGTCAAGCTGAGTGAGCTTTCAGGACGCGTTTTATTAGCAACTTTGCTGATGAAATGGTTCCAAGTACCCCAAGAAGCAAACCAAAAGCAACGACGGAGAGGTTAAGAATACGAAGACGTCTGGGTATATGAGGCCAAGAAAGCTTGATGTAAAAGGCAGAGGGTAAAATCATGCAAATGCAGACGCTTACAAGGGAGCCAGTGAGGCTAAGGACATGCTCAAAGAATGGAACAGAGAGAGCAAGGGCCAGTATCGATAGCAAGAGGATGGAGCCTACACAGCCTCTTATGATCAACTTCATGCGAGAACTCAGAGATTCCGGTAAGTTATGCTCAAGCTGAATGGCAAAAGGTGCAAACTCAAGTGCATATTTAGTCATGGGAGTTAGCACAGTCGCCCATAATGCAATTTTTGTGATAAAATGGTGTTGGGGCAAGCTGAGGGTGATCTGAGCGTTAACTTGTGGCCCAAACAACTTGGCACCCAGGAATGCTAGAGCAGTGTAGAGTGCTGTGACTGATGCAAAGCTCACAATAGATACCTGGAATCAAGAAGAGAAAAAGTAGGTCACTTACAATATTCATGCTACAGATATGCAATTGCTTCTCTTATGGTATATGAATAATAATTTGATTCTTAGATTCCACTTCAACTTTTAAATATCGAATCAAAGAATACCTAAAACGTTAAGCAGATACCATGTTGATGAAACAAAATCGACAGTTTGGAAAGATACATTGGGCAGATAGAATTTGATCAAGTAGTACGTAGTGCTACAACAGCATCCACGAAAAAGAAAAGGAGAACACAGGAAAATGATGGGAAAAAGGGAAACAAATGAGAGTTAGTTAAGAAGAACAGATATTTTACTATTAAATAGCACAGAAAAATTTGTTTGATGTAGATTCCACAAAACTTGAAATATATAGGATCTGATAATCTGATTCTCCTAATAAAAAATTATTTATGGGGCTAAGGTAGGAAAGCACTTCATATTCTTTGACCTTGATGATTAAAAAAATTAGGCAAAACAAGTTCATATGTTGCAAAAAAAAAAAAAAAATTAGAGAATCTTTAATAGCTATATCTACCTTGGTAAACTTGGATGGATCTTTCATGGCCCTGTATAAGTTGGGGAAAACAATATGGCCAGCATAACTGAAGATGTAAAGTCCCGATATGGCAGGAATCTTTTGCATATGTAGCACCGGTATGGTGTGGTTAGCCTTAACACCTCCAAAAATAGCAGTGCACACCACTGATGTGAAGATAATAATTGACAGAAGGATACCGCCGGATGAGAGGAAAGATATGGAAGAAAGATCTCTCAACCACAGACTTGGAAGTGCTATGAGGACAGCAATCACAGTTATAAGCTGAGATGTAGACAGCTTAGCCCCCGGTAGCTTGAGTTGGGTCCCTGACAACACCGTGATCAGATTGTCATGGAGTGAAATGGTGTAAGACACAAGGGCCATGAAAATTTCCAAGTAGATGAAGGTTGCTGTTAAAACTCTTCCTTTTCTTCCAAATGCATTCTCTCCAATATCAGCATAGCTTTGGCATTTGGGATTCCTCTCAAGACATTTTCCAAGGATGTGACAAGTATAGCTGCATATCACTCCAAGTCCTACAAGCAGGAAAACAGATGCCCATCCTCCACTCTCTAGAGCATATGGAGTTGATAACTGGCCAAGGCCTGTATTACATGTGAAGTAGAAAATGTTATCGCCTGCTGTAATCTAAGGCAATAGGGAAAAAACCACAAGATTATATTAAAACTTATAAAAAAACACGTGGCATGTTGCAAATGGTCGAATATCAAGTGGACAAGTGCAACTATAGTACTAGATGCTCCCTCCGGTCTGTCCTCCCCTCCCAACTATGAGGACATTCTTAGCAAATAAAACATGTGTGACGAGACAAAATGAAATCCTCCCTCAAATGGGGTTTTACTGGACAAAACCGTGAGAAAAGATTGAGAGAGGAAAAGAGATTTATGATGAAACGGTTAGAGGGAGAAAGGAGTTGAGGATATAAGAAAGAAGGAAACATGCAGAGAATCAGATAAGCTTACCTATGAGCATTCCACTCATATTCAAGACGGCATGAAGAAAAGAGCTGTTGGCCCCAGCTCGTTGATCAACATCTTTGTCCTCGATACCACCACGACCGCATTTACACACTTCATTTTCCTCAATACAAACATCACACTTCACCTGTCTCAGAGCCAAGTTTGCACCATGGACTGTCTCACTTGCTACTTGGTGGCAGAGACGACTCGTTTCAGGGCATGGCAATTTTTCCATTGATTTCCATGGCTTTCCCAACATACTTGGCTCTAAACTTCCACACAAAACCTGCTGGGGCAAAGAGAATCTAACGGAAAGTGTCGATCACCCTAAACTTGAGGAGATACTTGATTAATGACCTTTTACCAAAGAAGCCAAAGAGTAGCTCTATTTATAGCTGAAGGAAATTTGACATGCATGCCACTAACTAAAGTTTGAGAGAATCTCACCGTAAGTTAAGATACTGCCTTAGCCATAACCAAAAAAATAAATGTAATATGTATAGGACACAAGGAAATCAACACACGTAATACTATAACCACCATTTGCAAGATTCTGACGCAATTAGCCAAGAAAATGTGCATGAGAGAAAGAAAGAGCTCGAGCAGACTCCACAACTAGATACTATTTGCCACACCAATGGACCTGGGCAAATAGAACAACTCGCTTTCATTCATTTTCTAATGGGAAAGGTACTAAAACACACATTCATGGAAAAAGCCGGCTTTTTACAAAAATACATACATCTCCCTAACCAAGACTAGAAACAATACACGGTATTGGTATAAGTTCCATAGAATTAGCCAAGCTTCCTAAGTCTTAATTAGCCAAAAAGAGAATCGAACAGAAAAACCAACTTTGTAAGCTGATCACAAGTAGTGTTTTTGTATTTGTATTTTCATGTGTAAAAAAGAATCGAAATAAAGGATGTATATATGATCTACCAATTTGTTCAAGTCAACCATTTTACCACTGATTATTCATAAAATTGATGTGGGTCTTTGTGTTGGTAATTTGGTTTCATCCTCCCAAATTTGTCTAGAACAGTGCAGTTCAAGTACTTGGTTAATGCTTATGTTGAACCTGAAACCGACATCAATCAATTTGTTACGGTTTCAACCATGCATGGTGATTTTACTCAGTACTACTATTATCTTGGTTGGCTGCTGACATTCGGGAAAACGAGATGACCAGTAAGGTTGGCCACAAACAAGGGTGATGTATTGAAATCAGGCTGCATTTGACATGCATGGCTGCGAGGATCTGGAACAAAAACAGAGAGCTTCACCAACAAGAATTTCTTTTCATTTTTCCTTAACAATATTCCCATAATATTTAAAAGCGCCATGGGGTATCTTGTGTAAGAATTCCAGGAAGTTGTGCTGAGGCGGAAAGTGGTGATGCCAAACCAACCAGATCAAAGGCTTGTGTGATAAGACCTACCCCTGCCTCAGGCAAGATCCCCTGCTGCAAAATGGCTTATAAATTAAAGCCAAAATTTTGTTCCAGTTGAAAATGGTAATGATCCACTTTGGAATTTCGGTAGGCGGGAAGGAAATTGATGCCAAACGCATCTATTAAGAAACTTTGATGTCGACTTCGTTCCCATCACTGGTAAAGCTATAGCTATATAGCTGATTCTACCTGCAGTGACATCACCGTCGAATATAGGTATAGATCCTGTCTAAGTTTGCACATTTCCCTGTATTAGATATTGAAGCTAGATTCATTGCAAAAATTAATAATTTCAATTGTTATTAGTAATTATTGACGATTTTTTTATTTTACAGATATATATAAGACGATAATCGATTAGTTATACACATTTTGAAGATATTTTTGTCAAGAAAATTCCTTTTGTTTCCGCTTTATTAATAGAAGCTATCTTATCATTTTTTTTAAAAAAAATTATACACATTTTATCGATTAAAATAATTAGCATTATTTAAAAAATATTAACAGTAATTTATAAAATAAAGATTTTTCATTTTGTTCTAAAAGGATATTAATTAATTAATATATATATATATTTTTTAT